ATTTGAACCCTCACATCGGCTTTCCTTCACTCTAAGGAATATATTGAGGTCATTGCTCGGAACTCAGACGCCCCATCCGCGCGACACGATTACTCTACCTGTTTTTCCATCGCTATCTGTATCTTAGTAAAGCTCTGAGATACTCCGGCCATATCTTTCTCTCGAGAACAAGAATTCTACGATCTTGCGCTTCTTTGGGATCAGAGAAGTCTGTCGGAGAGCTCGAGCAATTGCCATTCTCTTTGCGATACCGCCAGCTCTCGGGCCAGCCACATCTTCGCCATGTCTTTACAATCATACATCAACAGTAAGTATCTAGCTCCCTCCGTGGTCGGAGAACATTTCTGGGTAGCATAACCACCTGCCCATGAGTATTCCGCGTTGCTTGAACATGTGAGATAGCAATCCGAACTGACCAGACTCCTCGCGAACATAGAAAAAATTCTGGTCTTGACCGTCGATGGCCGGACACTGCTGGGCACCCTTCTATCGACGGATCAGCTGACGAACTTGGTACTCCTTGATACGATTGAGCGCATCATTCGGACGCCCGATGACCCGGAACCTAGCTCGCAAATCGAACACGGACTCTATCTTATTCGCGGCGACAATGTGGTATTATGCGGGGAGGTCGACGAGGCTATTGACCGTGACATCGACTGGACCAAGGTCAAGGGCGAGGTAGTGAAAGGCACGAAGAATGCATGAGAGAAGAAGGGAGGGGGAAGACACCTTGCCCGCTGGACAAAGCTCTTTCTTTTTAAAACCCAAATCGCATTCGACACAAAAAAAGGAAAATTACTAAAAAAGGCCCCAAATAACAATCCACTGGCTGGATTGTATTTTTTCTTTCCCGTGGCAAGCAAGGAATGGAGACGCGTTTCGTTTGATTGTGGTGTGAAATTGACGTGGACGAGTTCGGCGTGACGTGGTCACGGACGAAGGCTGTCTCTGCCCCCCCCCTTCTCCTTCCTTTCCCCCTTTCGCCCTCTTCTCTTCCGCTTTTTCCCTCTTGTCTATCCAGTTTCTCTCTCATTCTGCGTGGGTGTTGGCGCTCAGCGGGACAAGGTGCTAGCCAGTGGGTGCCTGAGGTTCGCTGCGCTTGTGGCTTTCGTCTCCCGGTATCCGGTACTTGCGCGATGGGAGGGGATTGGGTGGGTCAAGTTATGCAATGCATTCGAATCGGCCCGCGTTGGAACTCTGAATGATCCGTTTCGGAGGGGATCTTCTATAATGAGATGGGAGTGTGACTACGGACTAGACATGCAGGTGCATTAGACGCTCGGGATCTTCAATCCGAACGGGGGTTCGGAATGCAAGTTCTGTGGTCGGCCGACTTCTGTGGGATCCTTTGGGGGGCTCGGGATCTTCTGAAGCAGAAGGGAGCAGGATCCAAAACTCGGAATGATTCGCATGGGATAACCAGGAAGGGGGAGGGGAGGCTGTTTGAGAGCTGGACCGTGTCTCCCTTGTCAGCCATGGCCAGGGATTAATGAGATCGATGTCCATCTGATCCTGGATCCTAGATGATGTGAGGTCGGGGCCTCTTTTTCCACCCGGAAAGCTTTCCTTTCCAGCCGAGGACATGGGCCACGAGCGGGCGAAAGTGGATTTGATACATAGATGACCAATTAACATAAGACTCTTCGTTTAATTACCTGTACATGACTTGATGAATCCGACAATATGATTGTTCAAGTAGACAGCGACTGCGTCTGGATTACTATGGGGTGGTCATTGTTGGGAGAGGAGATCAAGAGGTTGCCGTGTCTAAGTCTTTAATGGCTGTGCAAAGACACTATGGATATTTATTTGACTGCCTGAAATGAATCCCTCGCTTGTCGGGAGTCTGTCTTAAAAGGGGGAGGTTAGGTTCTTTTTGGGTTTCTTTTTTTTTTCTTTTTTTTTTTTTACACTTTGATGGATCCCCCTGGCGAAAAGATGGAGGGAGAGAGAAGTTAAAGAAGTGATGAGTTCCATTCAATGCAAGAGATCTTTTAACCTTATTTCTCTCCTTTTGTATCTTTGTATAGTTCCAGGTACAGTTCCAGTCAGTGACCTTGTCACTTTCTCCCATGCTTACTTCTTACTATTGTATTATTATTATTCACACACCCACTTTCTTTCCTTCTCTTTATCTATTGCACATTGTTCCAATCCAATTTTAATCAACGTGAATCCTTTTCTCTCTCTCTCTCTCTCTCTCTCTCACTGCCTGCCGTTGGCCCCGCCCTTGCCAAGTGCGGCCCAACACCGGATCGTTTCGTTTCCAATTTCCCCTGACGGGAACTGTTCCATCCGCCGCCGCTGCTGCTTAGTCCTCTACTACTCCTCTCCAACCAATTTCCCCTTCTCACTTTCTCACCTTTACTCAACTCAATTCCTCTCCTCCTCTCCTCCTCTCCTCCCCCCTTCCCCTCCTCCTCTGATTGATTTGAATTGTTTCTCATCTTACTCTTGGGAGACATCTTTTTTTTTTGCCGCCACCCTCACCTCATCTTCCCCGGATCATCCTCCTACCACTCGAATACCAAACCACCTCCCCGGTCCCCTTTACCGATTCGATCCCCGTATCCACTCGCAATTCCCTCCCTCGGTCGCTGGGCGACCGCCACCTCTGCCTATTCTGGTCCACCGCCGCGATATTTCGCCCTCTTCTCTTTCTCCTCGATTGAATCAGGCGCCCTTCATGTTGTTGCGACCGTGCCAGCACTTCTCGGGTTCGACTTGTCTTTACCCGCCATCCAATTGGTCTACTTGAGTACTAGGTTGCAGCATAATCTCCCGCCCACAGCCTCGTTTCGCGATTGACAGCACCGACTCTCCGTCACTCCGACACCTCACCCTCTTCTCGACACCTCCCTCCTTTCTCTCCTCTAGATCGCCCTCACCTCTATCCCGTCCTCATTGAGCGCTATCAGTGCCCAGCCCAGAATGTGGTTGTATCGGGGCGCTCAGTCGGCCGTTTTCTACTATGCCACCTGCACACCCTGTGCCGAGTCGTCCTACCGTCGAAATCGAATGAAAGAAGCCGCCCGGTCGAAGCGCGAGCAAGAGAAAGTCGATACCATTGTCACCGACCAACCGAGACCCCTCCGACAACCCACCCCCTTCAGTACGAACCCAGCATGGGCCGAGGAGATCGCTCTAGGCCCCGGTCCGCCTGCGCGTAGAGGTGGTCGAACCCATCGTCGAAAGGAATCCTGGAATACAGATGCGGTATCGACGGAGTCACTCCATGATTCGGGTAGTACAAAATCCAGAAAAGACAAACTCAAGAACCCATTGGGCGAACGTTGGAGTCGCATGCGCTATCAGCGGGAAGACGAGCCGTTATGGGGTCAAGATGTGGAAGTGAAGGGCTCGTCTGTGGGTTTGTCTGGTGGAGGGCGCCCGGATGAGGTCTCTAACAGCAAATATTATATCGCTCGAGTACCCCCGGTCAATGATCTGCATCCCCCGATCGTTAGTGGGCCCAAGAGCCGGGCGGAGACGCGGTGGATGTTGCAGCCCCCACCCAGTGCCAGGGTTATGGCCGGCAAGGAGCGCATCGGTGACTCCGCGTCCAAGAACAACAACAAGTCGCCCGATCTGAAAACAAATCCAAAGCAGCCGGTTGCGACAGCACCAGCGCAGCCCCCGATCAAAACACAACCGATCGAGAGAAGTGCCTCCCGAGCTAGAACGTCAGTGATGGCACCCGATGGTTGGTACGATCCAAGAGCCGACGGGTTGGAGGAAGATGGCGACGACGAGTCACCTCAGCATGGACGTGACGAGTCTCGCTGGGTTATCACGCCCTCGCTACACTCTCGCTTCGAATCGTGCTCATCGCTCTCGTCCGATGCAGACTCGGAGGCGGAGTCCCCGCGGGTGTCTTTGCAATCGCCGCAAACCCCAACCTCGCGGCCTGGTTCCAAGGCGACTCAAGACAGCGGCAAACACTTCCCAACGATCGCCAAGACCATGTCCACTTTGCACCCGCAGCACCACGAGAGCAACAACAAAGTTGAGATGCTGCATCTGGAAATCAACGACTCGCCTGACGATATCGCCTTAGGCCAGCTCGAGCGCCTGCGGCCTTGGCGTTGGAGTATGGATATCTGATTTCTCCTCCGTCTTCAGTGCAAGCCGATTTAGGCAATAATCCACGAATCATCCAACCCACCACATTGTCTTTTGTCATGGAAGCCTGTTTTTGCGATGCTCGATTTTTCCCCTGTTCTTTGGGTAGCAGAATACCCCCTTTCGCTGTTGAGTTTTGTCATTTGTGTCAGTCATGTTTCCTGGCGTTGGCAGCAGCGAAAAAGCGTTTCTTTCCATTTTTCTTTCTTAATTCCCCTTGCATGTCTTTCTGTTTGTCTGTTCCCCTGTGATGCATCATCAGCGAAACCGCAACCGAGTCCCCCCCGCCGCGCTGTATCCCGCGTTGAACAAAGTTACAGATTGTGTTTAGTGTCTGGATGGCTGGGCCAGTAGACATCAGGAAAACACATACACATACACATACAGGTCATGGGCACGAAAGTACATAGATGAATAACCCATGTTCATCAATTGCGACCAACTTGAGCCACAATCATTGTTGTTGAAGACTATTTTGCACAGAGTACTCATGCCTTTCCCCCCCCCTGTCTTTCCTTTTTCTTGTGTGTTCCCGACCGCATTCCTTATTTTTGCTTTTTTTCTTATTTGTCATTGACCATTGTCTCTCCTTTTGTGATTCGTCCGTCCACTTTCATTTTGTCCATCTGCAACTTTTTTCTGTCACTTTCTTTGTCTTATGACTACTAACCTAGTTTGCCCGCTACCCACCCCTTCTTGTATACTAATTTATCCTAATACATACCCCACCTGAATTTCTTTATTGTAGGCTGCTGCTATTACATGCCTGGACGAGCGTTGAAGTGGTTAGACGAAGCTGGTCCCACGCTTTACCAATCCTCCACGGCTGAAATTTAGATCTAGACCACTCGTGAGAGGCCGCGGGGAAGGGGATCATGTCCATTGATATCGGCAAATGCCCTCAAAGATCCGAAAGAGGGCTCTCCCCTGAGCTCTTTGTTTTGAAGATCCCGAGCTCCGACATTCCCGATAGCATTGTCGATGGCGACGAGCGTTGGCGAGTACCCATCTCCAGAGAGAATCCTCCTTTCCGGTGGTGGGTGCTGGTATGTGGTAATTGATAGCCAGCCTAGCCTAGCCTAGCTGACCTTGCAAGATGCTGGACGACGTCCCGGGAGGAGGCACCAGTCATATATCCAGGAATCTCAAGCATCAGAATCTACACACGCACACACAATACCTACAGCCCCTCGATCTTTCCGCCCTACGGCTATTGCGCCAGCAGCAGCAGCAGCAGCAGCAGCAGTCACACAACTCCCCCCATAAAGCATAGTGACCATAATGTATATATACATATATGTATGAGGTTCCAGCGGCTGCTTGTGCTTGTGCTTGTGATTGTGATTGACACCAATCCCAAACCCCGGAACCGGGCGATGAATGCGGACGGGATTATGTTTCCCTTTCTCTCTGTTTTTGCGGCGCAGGAAAAGTTGATTACATGCGGGGGCGTAGACGGGTACGTAGACTATGTGCTGTACTGTGCTGTGCTGTAGTCGGAGTGGAATGGACGGGACTGGGTGAGTTTCCCAGAGCTTTGAGTTGCGAACTGACTACTGACCTACTACCGCCCTTCAAACCGGACTCGATTGAATCAATCAACCATACTATACTAATGATCTTATTTCATGGGATGCCGATAGGTGTTGTTGGCGTTAAGTTAAACCACAGAGATTCCAAGCCACAGGTGTCTGTCTATATGACTTCCATGTCTAGTATATATCTATAGAGTTTAGTGCATGGCTGACTCGCTACGCCCGGTCGGGTATGGCGCGGATTGTATACCTGGTATAATTTAACGATCTGCTGTCCGTTTTGGTTCGAGGTGCTACTTTACTCGGCTACTATAGGGTCTAATCTCCCCAAGCTAAAGGCGATGCAGACTACAACGGGGTGGAACGAATATATGATAAATGGGTGAACATTTTCATCATGCACAGATAGCTAAACCGAGCTAATGAACATTGGATTCGAGTTCTTCCTTTTTTTTGTCTGTTTATTGATTCTGAGGTTGGTTTATCCGTTGACTGGCGAGATCATGGTAGTGGTATTCGAGGGGCAGAGCTAAGGCGACCGGGACTGGGTGTTTCTTTTCCAAGAACAATCATAGAAGCTATTGGAAGAGAGAAGGGAAAGCAATTCGTATAAGCTAAGGGTCGTCTCCAAGGCCCGGGAGAGCCCTCGCGTCATACAAGCGCGCACGTGAGCCGGATTCGAACGGCAGCGGAGTCGTCGACGTCGTTGGTCTTCGTCGTTCCGTCGTTTAGTAGACCTTCTTCTTCTCGTCCATGCTCAGCTGACCGGGGCCCATGTTGACCAGAAGCAGGAGTCCACCGCTATTGAGTAAATGAATATATTAGCCTGTGTCGTGGAGGAAAGTCAAAGAAAGGCGAGGGAGGGACTCGTACACAATAGACAGGATCTGGAAGAAGTCGTACTTGGCGAAGTCCTTGTGAGGGTGGTGAGGGTGAAGCTGGTCATCATGTCAGTTGCTGGAAAAAAAATAAGCAGCATTGAAGGGGAACATACAGTCCAGAAGTTGTTGACCAGCACGTTGAAGACGCTCAACAACACAACCAGAATGATAGCGCTCCACTTGGCCTTGAATCCCACAATGACCATCACGCAAGCGACGAAGCCGAACAAGCTGACCAGCACGCGCCACATGCTCCACTGGCCCGAGAAGACGAACCCAATGAAGAGGAAGATGAGCAGCACGCGACCAGCGAACTGGACGTACATCTTGCGGTCCTTCTCATCCAGCTGGGGCAGACCGGCAGGGACGAACTTCTTGCGCACCCACGAGTCGGAAAGCACCATGAGCAAACCGCCGATCACACTCAGGTTGCGAAGGAAGAAGTTGAGGTCGAAAATCAATCCATATCCGAGACCCTGGGTAATAACGACGGCCAACAAACCCGCGACGGCAAACTCAGTGTGCTTGCGAGCGATGACCAAAACCGAGCAAACCGACATGGCGATCATATTGACGAGAAGAAAAGTATGCGTGATTCCCCATGGTACTAGTACGGAGAGAGACGGGTTAGTGATGTTCTTGCGTTTCACAGTCTCCATCCGCGGTGCTACCGCGCAGCCGGCAGGAGAGGAACGAAGTCGAGGTGTGAGCTTACTTTTCCGGTAATCACGCAGGTACAGCAGTTGGTCGTTCCATTGCGTGATCATACGCAGGCTGTCTTCGAGGAAGGTAACCACGATCAAAAACCGACCAATGGCTGGGAGATATCTGGAGAGCAAAAAGCCACGGTGTCAGCGGAGATACGTCTTCTCTGGATGCGCGGATCGGTCGGAGGCTCCTTTCGCTGCCACAGGTGCGAGCACTCCAGGCATTGGAGCTGTAGAGATCGATAGAGGATCACGTACGGCTTAACCGGATCGGCCATTGTGTCGAGCCAATCCTCAATCTTGCTGGTCTGCTCCCGGATAGCATCCAATGGACTCGGGTCGCTCGTTGCCTCTGCTCGGCCAGGACCGCCAAAGGGGTTCTGGTGGCCGAGGTTGTAACCGGCAGTGCCACGAATTTGCGCCATGGCGACGAATATAGGATAGATGAAAGTGGTGAGTCGGAAGAGTAGAGGAAATGAAGGAGGAAGAAATATGGGGTAGTAGAGTTGGACCCCTCGGAAGGTTGTAACGGGGGGTGGAAAAACAAACAAGGAAGTCGGGAGAAGGGATTCGGGGAGTAGCTCCAGGCGCACTAGGCGGGAAGAATAGAGGTAGATGAGGTGAAGTGGAAAGGAAGGAAGAGGAAGAGGAAGAGGAAGAAGAGAAGAAAGAAAGGAAGAAGAGGAAGAAGACGAAGAGGAAGAGGAGAATAAGAAGCGGAAAAAGGTGATGGATCGAAGAGGGAGGAGCAATCAATAAGAATGGGGGGGTGGAACGAATGAATAGTGGCTGCAGCAAAGAAGCACAGTCGGAAGTACTAGGTAAAGTTGGTCTCTTTCTTCTTTCTTGCTATTGAGACATTGAACAGAAGAACCAACCAACACCAAACAAGCACAGGGTCAGTTACTGGGTCAGTACTCTCTCCTCCGTACATGGAAATAAGGCCACGATGACCGGAACTCATCACTAGTCCCAATGCGGACTAGCGGAGCCGTCGGAGTTGCGGGCGTGACGCCATTAGAGCGTCGAAGGTCCTTACATAAGCCAATGATCTCCAGTCTGTTCGCCAGTTCGCTAGTTCGCCAGTTCGCCAGGACCTTCAATTCTTCATCCTTAACCCCTTCTCTCTTCCTCACTGGCCTACACCTGCCGGGCCCGCATTCTAGAAACCATGTATATTCCCTGCTGGAATCTTTGGCGAAAGAAAAGGAAAAACAACAACAGTAGTAGCAATACCACAAATTGACCACACCCCTTTTTCCCATTATCATTATACACCTCTACTGACCTTGAGACACCCCCCATAAGGGGGGGATGGGCCCTTTCTTCAACTGAACCACTGAACCACTGAACCAGATATTCCCCCCACCCCCCACACACCAAAAACAGGGACCGCCAATCTTTTAGTTCTGCGGCGGGAGATCCGTCGTCTGAGATTCGAAACACGAAACACGACCCAGACAAAAATAGGTCGAACCACTTCTCCACGCTCACTATAATTCCTCCGCGGAAGAAGGATCTTGTAGCTCAAAAAGAAGAACAAATTGAAAAAAAAGTGGACAAGTCAAGGTTACAGCTGTAGAATGTTTGGAAGCTTAAGATCTCGCCTAGGCGCAGCAACAAGCCCGATCGCCAGGGTCCGAGTCCCAAAGCAGCAAACCAAACCCCTTCCAAGTTCCTTTACCCTGAAAACTGAAGTAATAAATCATCTACTAAAGACCAGGTTTCCTCCTTCACAGCCTTGATGGTTTATGATGAGCCTTGATTCTCCGGATAGCAACTGGTTCTCCTCATTCAAGATCGGCTATGACATACAGAACACCAAAAGTTGAGAATTGGAAGAAATCACCCAAGGCGGATGCGCCAATCCAGACTGACCAGACAATGGCCTCAAGGAAGAGAAATACAGCAGATCGTGTCATTGGGATCAATTATCAATGGGAATACAAGATACAAGGTATTCTAAGGAAATAGGTAGACAAAAAGGTGAAGGAAAGGAGCACATCAAGAGGGTAAAACCGAGCATAACAAGTGAAGATGTCAGGGAAAAAAGGTACATGGCTTTTGAAGAAGAACGGAGGGATTTTCGAAATATTCGGCCCATTGAGTGTCTCCGTCGTCGCAGCCATGTTGGGGGGCTGGAACAGAGCAATGTGCCTGATACATGCGAAAGGTTTTCGATGAAGAATAATATGTCCCAAACGCCAAAGCCATGAGTATAAATACAGCCCACGGATTAGTTGGATCCGGCTTGTGTCCGAAGGGCATCTTGCACAAAACCGGGATTGCATCCTCTGCCCCGGAAAGAGACCTGCTTAGGCAGCCCAGTCGGAGTCGAGAGGGTGTCCCTTCTGGTTGGAGCGGAGGATGTCGGGGAGATAGGTGGGAGTCACCTTTACCTTGGGCTCAACGGGGGCGGGAGAAGGAGCAGCAGGTGTGGGCTGGCTCTCAGAAGCACTGACTTCGCTCTCGTCCGTCTTTCCGCTCTTCTTCTTGATCTTCTTGCTGGAGACGGTGGTCCACTGGTCCTGACCGTTCTCCGCACCCAGAAGGCGCATCTGCTCCTCCTCGGAGGGAAGACCCTGATCCCATTCCTTGACAGGCTTGGAAGTGGCGGCAACTGGCTCGAACGTGTCCAAGAGCTCGACCTTGGGGGCCACGGCGGGCTGAGAAGTACCGTTGGTGGCGCTGGGAGCAGCCTTGGTCTGCCAGGCGTTGGTCTGGGGTGCAGTAGGAGTCAACTTGGCCGCCTCGCGACGCTCAGCTTCGCGGGCCGTGTGGAGCTGCTTCTCGAGCAACTTGCGTCTCTGCTCCTCAGCCTCCTGGACTTGCTGCTTACGGGCCTCGTTCTTTAGTCGCTGTTGGCGCTGCTTCTTGGTCTCGACCTGCTTGAAAGACTGGGCCTTCTTCTTCTGAGCCTCAGCCGGTCCGGCGCCGGTAACGCGGAGAACGGAAGCACCAGGGGCCGGAGCCTCGAGCATGTCGGAGATGTAACCAGCGGAAGGAACAGTGGCGTTCACAATGGGGGAACCAGCGGGAGACAGGTCGTCGTCGGCATCAGCACCAGTGGTAGACGAAGTGCGGGTGGAGACACGAGAAGCCGAGCGCTCGTCGTTTTCGAGCTGGGGAAGGGCGCCCTTGCTCTTCTTCTTCTTGGCAGACTTGCTGGTAGGAGCACTGGTTTGAGCCGGGATACCATTCTTCACCGCGTTGAAGCGCTTGGCCAACTCCTTTCGGTCAATCTCCTCATCCTGCTCCTCAACCTGCGAGCTCGTAGTCTGAGCTGCAGGCTGCTCCTCAACGGATTTGCTGGGTGCGGGGGAGGCTTCCGAGGACTTCTTCGTCTTCCGCTTCTGTTTCTTCACAGCCGGAACACTCTCGACTTTCTCTGTGATTGCCTTGATCGGGGCCTTGACCTTAGGAGAGGGGCCGTTGTAGTACCATCCAAGGCCACCTGCCACTACAAGCAGGAGAGCCCAGCTGATATAAGGATTCATCATCGTTAAAGCTGTGGTCAAAGCAATTGTCAGTTTTGCTGGGAGTGCAAGAGCGAGGTTAAAATGCCAGGACGTACAGTCACTAATTTAATTTCTTGAAGTACGTAGCAAGAGTCGTGAAATTCAAAGAGACCCGTCTCAATGCACTGTGAAAGACTGAGCTGGCGGTCGTCAAATTTTCCGTTCGCGTGTCCGGAAACGTTGAGAGAAGCAGGCGAAAAAAGATCTGGTGAAGGTACCAGACGGAGAAAGATTCAATTCGAGCAATCGCGTGATTTCGGATTCCTCTTTGTTACCAGATTGCGACAAAAGCGCAAGGAGAAGAGGTGTGGGTTGGCGAAGGAGAAAGTTGCCGCAGTTGCGCTGAAAGGCCAGATTTCCCCGGCGAGCTCGAATGGCGAATCGGTAGCACTACCTGAGACTTTTGATTTCAGATGGCAATTGGAGGAATTCGAAATTCGAATTGGAGACCTCAGCCGCGGATCGATGGTCTTCACACAGGGCCCTGGAGCTTGGGGTAGTTGAACGCTTCGGTCGGCGCTTCGGAGTTGAAAGAGAAAGGTGAGGTAGGTCGCGAGGACGGAGCAAGGTGAGGTAAAGAAGTAACCGGATGGTATCACCGAAAGACCATTGAAGCACCCGTCAGCCGAAGACTGAAGGGTGGGCGACAATGGCTGACTGGAAATGCAACACAAGTATGGCAGGGGACGAGTTGGAAGCGAGGAATTGGAGGGGAGAGAGAAGAGGAGGGTTGTAAGGAGGAGGAGGAGGAGGGCGATGGTGGGAGAGAAAGAGGACACGGATTGGAGATGAAGGGGTGTGGCTGTCGACTCGGCAAGTGGTGAGGAATAAATTACCAAAGCACCGAGATGGATGAACTACCCAGGTACTCCGTACTCCGTAATGGTCACTCGTATCGGTATCAAACAGCGGTCCTTGCACGCGCTGGATGAGAGACTCCACTGCTAAGAGTAACGTTAAATTGTCAAGTAGTGCAAGATCTTGGAGGAGATTCTTGCCTGATCATCATCTGGACCGTGATTCAGGAGACTTTTCTCGGGGATAGATCTTTTATAAACCCAGTTGCAGTCATCACACGGGCTGACATGCCTGTGGCGCATTGATGAAAGGATTACCCCATGTTTCTACTTTCTTCGAGCCAGCCAGTCAGCCAGTCTGTAACTGCTGGTAACAGATAGGAGAGGAGTAATCAAAGTAATCTCTGTAATCACTTTACGGATTTCTACTAGCCACTAGCCACCTCCTGGGGTTGAACAAATTAGCCTTGGAAGATCAGCACGAATCAGACCTCTTCCTTCCCTGTCGTCGGACCAGTGTCCGTGACGTTGACAGACCGAATGGTCTTACAGCATCCCCTGGTGTGGAGGACGGTGTTCGACACTGGCGCGGGGAAAGATCTTCCCCATGCGTGCGTGACATTGGTTTGACCCCTCTGGACTGCAATGTCGCGTTGCACTTCTGGCATCGACGTGTCAGAGTCAGAAGGAAGCCAATCCCCTGCGATACACAAGACATGGCTTGCTAGAAGGAAATGTCTTTAGATCTGAGGGAAAGAATAACTTAACTAGAACTAGACTTAAAGTATTGAGGTAGAACTACCGAGCTGTTGAAGGGAAGCTCCGGTATGTTCCAGTTGTATGTTACCACCAACTGGCAGAGGCAGTGGCAGAGGCACAAATACAGGGGTAATACCACACTCCCTGCAGGTCATTCCGCCTTCCGAACAGGCCACGTCTCAGCTTAGAATCGTCCAGACTCCAGACCCCCGGGAAGAACCTCCGTCGGCCTGGACGACCCGAGACAGCTACCCTATTCGGTCAAAATTACCACAATCATGGATGCAGTGGGTTGGAGCCTTGGAGGACAGTCCTGCTCCAGGCTTCCCCTTCTTCATCCCAATGCTACACGATAGATAATTGGACATGTCAAATCAAATTGAGGATCTGTCTGAATGATCTGTATCTATATCTATATGGAGAAGGATGGTGCTGAGACAGTTGGCTCAGTGTCTATTCCAAAAACACGCAGCTAATATCATCAATCATAACTTAACGATCATATGCTTCAATTATTCAGCCAAATGACCTGCATTGGACCTTCAAGGAGTCATGCTAACTACAGCTTCTCCTAGACAAGTAATTATCAGACCGCTGATTTGGCCCTTGAAGGTGTGACTAAGCCCTTCTTTATCAACAACCGCGGTAGTGGAGCATGAGTGATAAGACTCGGGACCAGCCAAGAACCATCCCACTTCCCCTCCATCCTTTGCATCGTCGCAATTTTCCTCCCTCAACATCATCGTTCCAACAAGATTTGCAGAACTGAAACAATTCGCGGAAGCTGTAGGCAGTGCTCTCGAAGTAGACTATCCACACAATGGCGCCTAGAAAGATCATCATTGACACCGATCCTGTATGATATAATTGATTCTCGTCCCAGACTGCAGCTGCTCTATCCTTCAGCGTCTGACCGGCTTGATTGCTTATATAGGGAATCGATGATATCCTTGCCCTTCTCCTGGCACTGTCCGCTAAGCCAGAGGAAGTTGAGGTGCTCTTGGTCTCGCTTACTTTTGGTAATATCGAAGTGAGAAGGTAAACCACCATTCCCGAAACCAGATGGTACGCCTACTGACTCTCCAAGCTGCCTGAAGAATGTCGTATCCATGTTTCACATCCTCGAGCGGGAGATGAAATGGCGTCGAGAGCAAGGTCTCCCCGAAGGTTACGGCGCCCTGCGCGCCTGTCCTCCTGTTGTCGCCGTGGGAGCGGAAGATCCCTTGGAGGACCAGAAGATGCTGGCAGATTACTTCCGTACGTGTCTGAGCTTAGAGTCAGGATTGAAAGGAACGCTGACCACTCATTTAGACGGAACGGATGGTCTCGGTGGAATTCACACCAGCGTGAGCAGGGCGCATGTCTCCTTCCTAACCCGTCGATTCACTAACGAAGTGCTTGCAGCATCCGCACCTGTCTCCCCAGGAAACCTGGGAGCATTTGTTCGACCCATCCAACGATTCCAATGACATTGAACCAGTCCCGACTGGCGATTCCGCCAACCGGCTGTTTGTTCCTTCAAAGCGTCCCGCATACGAAGAGATCCTTCGCGTTCTGCGCGAGAATGACCCCGACACCGTTACTATTGTGGCTGTTGGCCCCCTCACTAACCTAGCCATCGCCTCTGCAAATGACCCAGAGACCTTCCTTAGGGCCAAGGAGGTTGTGATCATGGGAGGAGCTGTGAACCAGCCTGGAAATGTATGCTTCTGTGCCGCCTCGAGAATCTGGAAAACTGCTTGCTGTATACTAACGCAAAACGATCAGGTCACCCCTGCGGCTGAATTCAACGCCTATGCCGATGCAGTCGCTGCCGCCCGTGTCTACGCCCTCACGTCGCCTTCTCCCCGGAGCACGATGCCCCCGGGCACGAGTCTGCCAATGTACCCCGCTACACTCAGCAAACAGCTCACCCTTCGCACCTTTCCCCTCGACATCACTCTCCGCCATGGTATGACCCGCGGTCAGTTCCGGAAGGCCATCACCCCGCTGCTGGAATCCGGCTCCCCACTCGCCGAATGGGTGTCAGCTTTCATGGCCCACACCTTCCAGACCCTGGAGAGGCTTCACCCGGGCCACGAGGGCGACAAGGCCGACCTCAGTCTCCACGATCCGGTGTGCGTGTGGTATGCGTTGACCGCAGATGACGAAGGGTGGAAGCCGTCCGCAACCTCGCCGGAGGACATTCGGATTGAGACCACCGGCCAGTGGACGAGAGGTCTCTGCGTGGTGGACCGCCGCAATCGCCACCGGATTGACGGCGAGGAGGAGAGCTCCAACGACCATGGTCTGTGGTTGAGCGCCAGGGCAGGAAACCGCGTTTTGAGGATGGATCACTCCCCGGTGGAGAACACCTTTGGGAGCATCCTTCTCGAGAGGATCTTCAACTAAGAATAATAGAGCGCGGCGATGCGTTCAACAACCTACACTCGCCACCCCCATACATCAGATTTGCTAGTGAATAGCCCCCTATATAGTGATAGAGTTTCTGCAATAGAAGTAAAAACATATGAGCAAATTGCTAGGCATGTGCCCATGGCACGCCATGGCACGAACAGGACGAGCCCAAAGTGTATAAATAGACGTCCGGCTAAAAGTACTGAGTACGATGACTTGGAGCATCCGTCCTCCTCTGCTTTCCCCTCATTTCTAGCCCCGACCCGATCAAGAATAGCTCCGGACTCCGTCAAGAAGAAATCCGTCGGCAGGTCCGAGAATCATAAGCCCCCGAGGTGAGTGCTTCGTGACGAGACCTTCGCGTCGCTAAAGCCCCGCATCATTAAAGGCACCTTGCTGAGAGGGACACTCACAACCGTCTAGCAGATCAGACACGTATGTTCTCCTGAAACGTATTCATCACGCACAAGAGATACAGCACTACTGAGACAAAGACATCGAAGGACCAGCTCCAAGATTAAGTCAAAGCACTGGCTCGAGCCTGGAGCAGAATTATCTCCAGTTGAATACTGTACTGGACTAATCCGGTGGTACTGGCACATGTCCACGGTCCACGGTCCACGTCCACGTCCACGGTTCTCCCCGCTCAGCTTGTGAAACCACTGATTGAGAATAGAAGGTGCACGTGCTTGGATGCCAGGTCTGGACGGGATTGAAGACCCTGGCCTGGCTCGGAACATTTTCTAGCGGACTTACTCCTGTGGTGCGCTCCCCCCTTAGCCTCCTCGGGGTCCTCAACGCCAACGGGCGCTCGGGTGAGCGGTTGATCCCATGCAGTGAGGACGGATAAATCCGGAGACGATGAGGGGAGGAGGGGGGGAGATGTGCACGGGCTTGAGAATGGTGATGGGGTTCGACATTGCTATGAGTAAAGTACATGTGTTGCCACTGGTGACATACTCCATTGATTTATTTTCCATCTTCCTTTGAATTGGTATTCTGTCTCGAGGGAAATTCGAGGGAGTCATATGTCTCACTCAACTATATTCGTCTCTTGCATCATGATTCTCTATTTTCTTTTGCTCTGAGATTCTGCAATCTGCAGCGGGGAAGGATGTCTTCGGAGAAGTATCTCGTGCCCTAGTACGGAGGGGGAGTGAGGTCGGCATGTTGACGGAATCTTTCAACATCACCAATTAGCATTCCCTCTGCATCAGCGTGGGCGATCAAGCCAGATAAGAAGGGTATGCTTTTCCCTTTCCCCCTCATTTTCCCTTTTCCCGCTGCACTGGACGAGTTCAAGTGGAACCTAGACATAGGTTACGGCACAAGACTGCATACCGTCCACGGTACTTACTCGATCATGATCAACGGCATCATCACTACTAGTAGATAAAGTAGATTGCTTTGTTGGAGAGGGATTAACCACCTCAGATAGTGGAACGTCCTCCGTTTAGGGTTTGGCGTACTTGGAAGGAAGTCTAGAAGTAAGGAGTCAAGTGGCTACGCAGCCGATAAGAAGAGGGAACGGGAGCACGAGTGCCAGGAGGCCTCAGAGACTCGGCCATTTGGCCCCGGGCGGTCTTTCGGTCTCGTGCCCTTTCCGCCGCCGCTGTCCGGCCAATGATGGGCGTCTCGTCCGCCGCGTGGGCTTCCCTAAGCACGCGACACACTTGACTGGGTGTCTCTTCAGCAAAGGTTACAGATTGGATTTCATATGTCGATCATCCTGTTTTCTAAACTAAATTATAGGTAACTTACTGTACTTCGGGACTTATTGCGACCATCATACTTGTCCGGGTAACTGTAGATTAAGTAATGATTAAGTACCTACCCTACCTTAGGACCAGACCATTATCGTGATCCTCCTCATACTCCTCCTCCTCCTCCTCCTCCTCCTCCTCCTCCTCCTCCTACTACTTACTACCTTCCCCCCTCCCTCCCGTTCCAGGAACACTCTCGTCTCCCTACCCTCCTTAGATATCATCACTCTCCCCTCCTTTCTCTATCCTCTTTGGCTTTGATCTATGATAATTAAACATAAAACTTTTCCTTCTTGACCTCTGTGGTGCGAATTAAGCCTTCTCTCCACTCCTCCTATACTGTCGTTCTCGCATCGCCTCTCAACTACTACCTCCCGCATTACTCCTCTTCTCTACCGGCAAGCAAGACTGTACAACCTCGCTGCGGGGGGTCGTTCAACATACCCTTCACCATTGGCCCCGTCTCACTCGCATCTCCACTAGTTCAACCCGTTTCCATTCAGCCAACGCATCTATTGGCGAGCAGTGTCAGGTCGACAGCCAACCTTGCTCAACCCCCTCCCGACTCAAATCATGTCACGGTCTCGTCTGCCACCGACACCCGCCATGTCCGGGGAGCTCACCGTCAAGGAGCAGTCCTCGGTGGATGCGGCCGACACCTTTGCTCTGCCTCCTGCTGCCATGAGCCCTGTTCGGATGGTCGCTGCCAGCCGAAGGTCCTCCAAGTCGGATCCTGCCCTCTGCTTTCCTGCGTCCCCTGCCTCGCCCAATACCACCATGGGCAGCATGGCCAACTCGCCGCGTCAGACGGGAATCAAGCGACCCCTGGAAGAATTTAATCTGCCACCACCGCCGACCCGCACCCGCAAGATCATCCAGATGAAGCCCAAGACCCAGAACCAGCCCAAACCCGCCGCGCCGCCTAGCAGCAAGGCCTCCACGAAAGACAACGCCAGCAAGGCCTCTGCCAGCAATGCAGCTCCCTCAAACTCCAAGAAGAAACAGCCCAGCGCCACAAGCGCAGCCGGTCGGAAGATTGCGCGCAAGACAGCACACAGCTTGATCGAGCGCCGGCGGAGATCGAAGATGAATGAAGAGTTTGCGACCCTCAAAGACATGATCCCCGCCTGTCAGGGACAGGATATGCATAAGCTCGCTATCTTGCAGGTGTGTTCCTGTTGCCCTTTCGCCCGGTTTTCGACCCCTGTTTTCTGATCGCTAATGAGCCCCGATGTACCTAGGCAAGCATTGATTACGTCAACTACCTGGAGCAATGTATTTTAGATCTGAAGACCGCGGGTGGTCCTGCAACGAGAGTCTCTCCATCCATGGCGCCGGCCCCACCCTCTCCAGCATCTCCGGAGGCTCTTGGAGAGGAGTCAGGACTTTCATCTTCGGCTTCGGTGTCTCCAGAGCTTCTCCCGACTGATTCCTCGGCCTCTAATACGACTTCACCGATATTTTCTGCACAGATCCCGACGCCTGCTCCCGGATCACTTCCTGACCTCCGATGCTTGTTCGCGACATTCTCTGCCTCAGAACCAGTCCAGCCCGCCGCCCCAGAGACGTCCCGCTCGGCACGTGGCTCGTGGGCTGCATCGACCAGTACCTCCCCGGGCCTGCCACCGCAGTACGCCATGACATCTCCAGCCGATGTCGACCATGAAGCGTCGGCAGCCTTGCTCATGCTGAACCGTGACTGTCGGGGATCCGTGGGATCGGTCCATGACGCGCAGGCACCTCCTGTCCCGATCGCGCGGGAAGACCACAGCCAGGGGCAAGATCCGCAAAAGAAGCTGGGCATGAGTGTGAAAGATCTGCTCATATCTTAAGTCTGTATTTCTAGCATGTTTTTCATGGCGTAAAAAGTTTAGTACGTGGTTCGGCGTGTGGATAAGCGTTGTTCAAACAGAAAGAGAGCGGATCGGCGTTCTTTGGGCAGGATGATATGTCGGATTTTGTTTGTTCTATATATGCAGGCTGGACCAGTATAAGTAACGATGACGTTCTGGATAAGGTTCAATAGCGATGATCTAGATACCCATAAGCTAGTTGCGAATCGCTTCAACCCACACCCTTCAGAAACCAGAGAGAAAGCCAATTGTCAAGCAAGGTCGTAGAACCGACTAGACAATGTCAAGATAAAATAAACCACAACCTGCAAACTTATCTACTGCAGTAGCGTAGCGAAGTGGTCCCCGTCCGTTAGCCCCACCCGGCCATGGCAATCAAGCATTGCATTGCACCAACCGAGCCTAGAGCCCCCGTCCCCACCCGGGCCTTCTTCAGTGACAGTGACAATAAGAAGCCGAAGCAGAGATCCGCTCGCCAAAAAGGAAGCCAACACCTAATCCCTGGCCCAGACCTCACCCTACCCCCTAGCAAAGAATGCAACGACAGCCTAGCGCAACCCTGCGATCAGCATCGAGTCACTTGACCGACCGCGGTCCGGGTGAGCGTTGCAGCCCAGAACAGCCTACCCACTTAACAGAAGTGTGTGGCTGCCCCTCCCCCTAAAACCCCCTGGCCATCAATTCCCGGACTGGACTGGACTGCACTGCACTGCATTACACAAAACCGATTCCTGCACCAACGAGAGGCTAGAATAAAAGGGGTCTCGACCTTGAGTGCCCTGGCTTCTGCAGCTGCAGTCGATCTTGCCGGTTACCTAGTAATCATGGAAAAAAACGTTCTTCTGGTGTTTGGTCTGGGCGCCAGCCTCTAGGAATCAGGAAGAGTTGCGCGGACGGTCCTGTGCTGTACTGTACTTGTACCCCGCAGAGAGTTTTGTTGCATGTGTGCACGCCTGCGTGCATGGTGTATGTGGCATGGCATGGCGTGGCGTGGCGTGGCGTGGGAGGGTTTCTCTTCTAGTTTCTTCTGGAGAGATTCTAGCCTGATGGTCAGTTTTGGCGGTTGACTTGTTTGTGCCGTGTGTGTGTGACCTCGATGGGGGCATGGAAAGTTAGAGGTGTCGAAGCCGAGGAGAGGGACGCTTTGTTAGTTAAACCCAGTATCAGAGAACCGTTCGCCTAGCGACTTTGTCTATCGCAACAAAACAAGCTACAGTGTAAAATAATCCGGTCCGGACACACAGATAGTAATCCAGCAACCATCGACACCACAGTCGGCCTCCTATCTCCCTTTTCCTATAGAAACATCATAGCATGCATTCCACACATTCTGCAAGGTGTCTCACGAGTTTCTGCATAGATCTTGGCAGCACGACCTGGAATAGGCTCTGGCACTTCGCGTTGAATCGTATTGCTTGGCTTGGGGGCAATTGGGCAATTGTCCTGCTCGAGCAAATGAGTATGCGTCGAGTTTGTTCCGCGACGTTGCGTTGACCGTTATTCCATATGCTTCCTTAATAATAAACCCCTTGGCGCGAATTCTTCCGTGATCCATCGAGTAGCCAAGGATTGCAATGGCTGGGATCACCGATGCTGGGATACGGAGAAGGACCCTAGGGTTGGCTGGTTGGTTGAGAACCTGGTTCACGGCACAGGTGTGCGCATGCATTTGACTTATCACCCACTTTTGTTTTTCCCAGATAAGCATTTCGGGTTTGGCCTGTGCGTGAGACAATTACTTTTGTACCCGCAGGGAAGGTAGGCCACTGGCAATGCTCGGCGATCTGGAAAAATCATAGGCTAGTTTACTCGGTAGTTACGCTTCTGCTTATGGGTGGAGGTTAGACTGCAATGGGTTGTTGTGATAGCGACTCGTTTGGAATAGAATAGGGCAAAAAAAAAGAGTTTTCTTGTTGACGTATTTTGGGCCTGACCGCGGAGATCCTCTGGCCCTTTCTCCCCCACTAATCCACCGTCCAGGTTATGGTTTGTGCTGATCTACACAGTACAATCGTGGAAATCCATCGAGGGCGCCGCGCCCGACTTGTCGTAAGATGACGTGGGGTGGGCGAACCACTTGCCTGCCAGGCGATTACTTAGTAATTTCCCGTTCGGTTAGTTAGTTATCGGCTGTTGAAAGGTAGGGTGTTCTTTATGCCAAAAAGCTGCAAAGAAGGAGACAAGGAGCCGGCGGGGTTGGTCGACATAGACGTTTCTTGAATGGCAACCAGTCCCATCATTCTCTTTTTCAAATCGCCATGATAATACTACATTGTATGCAGCAGGAGGCAGGGTCAGACTATCATTCTTGAGAACCTGAAAGTACAGTAGTTCCCCCCCTAACCCCCCCCTTTAAAGTCTTAGCATCCACTAGTGTGGCCCATGGGCGCGATGGCAAAGTCCCCGCAGTGCCGACATTCCGTGATGTGCAAGACTAAACGGACTGGTGACTCCCCGCCCGAGTCCCGTGGCCCGTCCCAAGCATCGTATATATTCATCCTTGAACCTCCCCCTCCCCTGTTGATCGCTCTCATTCTTCGGTTTCCTGATCCATGGCCTCGGAAATCATCCCCTCTCCAATCCCGCGTCATTCCAGCTTCCCACCCTCATCATGTCGAGCAAGTTTCCCTCCCAAGAGCGCAAGAAGAATGCCCGGTCCATCGCCTCGGAGGACCCCTGGAAGGTCGACATTCCCTTCGGCCCGCCGCGCATCTCCCACTTTCCCAGCAGCAAGATCAGCCGCATTCGCAACACCTTACAAAAATTCTCTCCCTCCGCCCGGGCCGAGAAGGAACTCCTCAAGCAGAAGAACCGGTACAAGATCCCCCTGACCGAGCGCAATGTCGACGCTTTCGTGACGGAGCAACTGGTCACCGATGCCTGTCACCCGGGCCAACATTCGCCAGAATTGCAGATCTCGGCTTGGCTGGAGCAACTGTCATACTGAGAGAATGGGAATGCTTGATGCTGTACCGTCGTACGGTATGGGGGCAGCACATTGTTACCTGCTTTGTCGGGGTCTCTTTGTGCCCCAGCCCCCACACCATCCCTATTCTTTCTCCACGTCCTTGGGTCGATCGATACAGACCGGACAGAAACCCATCAACGACCGCGCCAACCCACTGCCAAGAATGCAATATGAAGTCTTGCGCACCCACGTCAGCCTTCTTGGCAAGTCAAAGAGATATGACACCTCTTTTTCGAGTTCAATTGCGAAAGGACAAGACGGGACAAACCAAGTGGATAGTCTATCTATCTATGCATGGCAGTGGTGCCGAGAAATGACCCTTGCCGGGGGGTCAACGTCATTCACCTGGGCGCCGAGCCGCGCCCGGCCCCCGCCAAGTATGCAGGTGTCAACATCCATGCATTTCCGGGTGTGGGGTGCGCTCCAACAATCAACAATCCCTACTTTACCGACCATCCACCCTGGGCTGGGGACTTTCTGGAGTCGAGCATATCCGGGGTTGGTCTCACATTGTTCATGGTGGCTGCTGGTATGGCCTTTTACTTTCATTCCCCCACTTTTGGTCTAATATCGTCTTTAATGGTACTTCTTTTCTTTTGTTTGGGCCTGAGTCTTTCTCCAGTTTTGGACTGCGTGAATCCCCTGCACGGACAAGATCATTGGCTATCTTAAGCGACAAGCGATTTGGTTTATTGGAAGTTAGCCTTTATTGGCGAGGTGCTTGGAGTTTGGCGAATTCTTGTGGTCTCTTGTGATGTTTCTGGTCTGGTCTTTGCCAGGCTTGCTGTTTTTCTATTGGCACATGGGCTACATCGAATTTGGGCTCTATGCTTGACAATCAATCTATAATACATTTTTAGAGAGATGTTCACACTCATCGTAGAATTATCGCATTTCTGTCTACTTTGCTGACCTAGGATAGGGGGCCAGCTGTCCGATTCCTCCGCCCGGATCGAGCTTCAACAACAGGCCGAATGATATAGCTGCTTGATTGGCTGAGACTAAGAACGCTGTGAATAATGGCCAAGGTGAATGGACAAGTACACAAGTATTAGTGTGAACTCCCTCCATGAAACTCACGCAGAGACCACCATAAGTCTGCTTCTCATTATTGAAGCCCGGACACTAGTGAACGGTCTGTACCAGAGGCCTTGTGAATAGGTGGCTATTATTCATGATGAATGGTTCTTTTCATCCAGCCTTCGCCTACTTGATCCTCCTCCTCCTCCTCTACTCTTCCATCCTCCGGCTCCTTTCTTCTTCCACTCCACTCAACCCACTCTTCTTCCCTACCTTCCTTCCTTCCACCACTACAGCATTTCACCATACCCAGCTCCTAACAGAGTAAAACATTCTTGTTAAGCCCAAATTCTTATCAACTATACAACCCCCCCCAACAAAGCCCCTTCCACCAGTATAAGCTCGTGACTTCAAGCCACACCTACTTCCAGAACCATATACCACCAGACGAAAATGACTGCCCAACTTGAAAATGAAGTCTCATGCTTCGTGGGCCGTCAGGCTCATATCCGCCAAGCCGAGAGATGCAGAATCCTGCTACACTAACCGAACGTGAGTCACCTTAACCTGCTTCCAGAACAAGACTAACCCCTCGCACACCGACCAGTCAATGAACGGATTCAGTCCCGTTCCTCGTCTTCAAGCTAGAAGTGGATGTATTCTTCTATATACATTGCAAAAAGCCAAGCAAAAAGAGTACCGATCGTGTGGACATTGCGGGCTGGCATTTTGATTCCAAGGAACGCCTTACAATAAGGTACTTCGTCTTCGTCCCTCTGCATAATCCCTGGCTTGCGGGATGTCATACGCAGCTATGCGTTTGGCTGTATCAAGCCAGGGCTTCTTCTGCTGTTAGGCTGGCAGAGCCTGCAGCCGAAGAAAAAGCACACCCGAACTATTTGCGGAGGATACTGTACATCCCAGGCAAGAAGGGGGAAAGGGAACAAGATCTTTGGGTCTAACCAGGACCAAAAATACAAGGTAAGCTTGGGACAGGCATCGCTGGTCTATGTGGCTTGGTTGCTGATCGCTTCTAGCACTGCACTCCGTGTGGTGAATTCAGACGCGCTGTGTGCCTCCCGTTTTGTACAGCATGGTATGCTTCTTGCCCTGTCAGAAGACCAGAGTTCTCGAACTTGACTACTTTGCATGCTTTTCAATCGTTGAACAGAACAGTTCTGTGACACTAGCAATCCTGGGTGTGGCTTGGGTGTGGCCTACTGCTTACACTACTGCTATCCCTTTCTGCGACCCCGATACCAAACGTGCGGTTGCTGTTTATCACATTCAGCGCCTGGAGGACTTCTCCGTTTGAAAGTGCAACAACAGAAGATATTTGGAGAGACATCTGGAGGTGTCTTCACCCGTCTTGTATGATGCATGCCTTTCCCTCCGCGACCCTTCTATCTCGTCCGTCAGATCGCTAACAGTAATAGCTCGCTTCGAACCTCAATTTTGAAGTTGAACCTCTCCATGAAAGTATCTCAGCCATGAGATACAACATGCTTCCAATGCTATTATCCTGATAAGCAACGACGTTTACGCAACTTATTGGCTAATCCTTTCACTGAGGTACAGAAAGCTAAACGCTCTGCAGAGAAATGCCTGCGCTTGCCGCAGGGCGCGGATAAGTTAGGGCTTCGAGGCTGCAATCGATAACCGGACCAAACTTCACGACAGTGACTCAACTAACTTAATATGCGTCCACCCTTATACGCGCTATCATCTCTACGCTGAGGCTGCATATCAGACGTTAGCAGCAACGCTGGGGCTGGTTTGCCACAAAATCCGCAAAGAGGTTGCACAAGAGGTGACTCCTCACATTCGTCGTAGATCGTGAGGCTTGCACCTCAAACTATTCTCTGCAGCCCCGATACTTTCTCTCTTGCTTCTCTATCGCCGTATGTCCTTCTGGGCAACAAGTCAAAAGATGATCTTCCACTTTTGAGCCTCGACGGAGTCTTTTGGAACCTGGCTCTTTTGGTCAAGATCGAAGAGGATCTGAATACTCCACAAACAGACCAAACTTTCAGAGTTCGTGTGGCACAGCTTCTGATCCGGCTTGGCAGCGGATTTGGGAAAAAAAAAAGAGCATACCAACTTCTTGGAAGCTTATGGTTATCGAGTAGCTAGGAAGCCCAAGCCTATCTCGGAACAGACCATATTCAGATACCGACTCAAAGTTTTGATTGGTACCATTGCAGCTGATTTTTTTGGGGACTGTAAGTCGTCTACTCCCACCTTGACGCAGCCGTTTGCTAACCTCGTTAAGCAAAATTCTATTCGCGGAAGACGGCGATCAGGTTTGTATCAAATTCAAAAAATAGACGGCGGATCACCCTGCGTATCTATCGCACGGCACTCCGAGTCGCGATATATTCCTAGAGATGACAACATATGACCCTTACCGCTTAAATGTCAAACAAGATATTGAGATCTGGGAGTTGTTGCACACCAAGCCACATATCGGTGGTAGCCATGCTGTATGTTCTTCCAAGTACTCGAAGCTGCAGTGGTTATAACTAACTTCGAACACAGCGCCCATTTCTGAATCTACACAAAAGTGAAGCCTCAGGACTTATATCTATGCCGGCGATATGATCTCTTCGAAACTGCATGAGAACTTCCCAAATCTTGACGTCTCATAGAAGCTCGAGTTTGATGCTGACATAATCTGACAGACGAAGAAGTATTGCAATACCGCAACGCGATTCCCATGCGTACTTGTATCCTCGAATTCCAAGATATGTGGGAGGAGGGGCGCGGCTCACTGCTTTCTCAGCCGACGTCCTATCTGCTTATGAGGCCGAACTATCGAATCTCGGCTACGAAGACGGACCGATTTCCGAAGGATACGAGAGTCTGATGGACGCGCACGTTGCAAAAGACTATGAACACCGCGAGAGATGGGTCACTTTGGTCAGACCCAAAGCATCCATACTGCGCATGCGACATGTGTAAGAGATGATAGTTGACGTCTCCATGGTCGACACTCACCCCTTGCTCCTGAGATTTGCAACTGGCGTCATTCTTGCTGACAACATAGAAGAAGGGGGAGCAGAACTCGCTGATGACATAGACTACATTCATCTGCCTGGGGATGTGGGATTCACGCATGATGCAGAGCCAGAAACTTTACTCTGCAACCATTGATGAAGCAGAATCCTCAGGAATAAGCACGAATGGGATGAGCACTTGTGCCAGATCGCACGGCTTATCTTGGTCGGAAACAAGAATTACCTTTCCCAGAGACACTTGCAATGCGGGCACAGATAGATTCTGAACGGCCAACGTCTTCGAGAATCTCAAAAAGGGAAGATACTTGCATGAGATGTCTGAAGGAGGAGCAGAACCAGCTTTCAAAATGCTTATTGCGTGTGGCCTCGGCGTGCTGGGATGGGCTACCTCCAGGGGATTTTGCGGCTAATAATTGGATGCATTGACAACTGTCCTAGACCGAGCCCGCTTTGCTATAATCGGAGTCTATGCGCTGGGGTTGCCAATTAGTCACATGCCTGGACATCCGTGTTTACAAGTTAGGAGATGTGACAGGGTAGGACTGCCATTCAGGACATGGCATAGAGCTCATGTTGCAGAGAGCGCGTCGTTTTCTTCAAGGTGCAAGCCTTTCCAGCCATGACGCCTTCATCATACATGAAGCAGTTGCTTCTCGGGATCTGCTCGACACTAGTCATGATCATCTCAGACCATGCTACATTCATTTTGAGGAGTTACGCTGGTATGGTGATAAAGATGCCTACCGTGAAATATGAGATGGCTTATGAAGTGTTGTCCGATCGCTTTTCCAGTGATGTGACTGCCATGGGAGTCCCAGGTCATCAATGGCCAGGACGTGGTGATGAAGGTTGTTTCTGGTAAGGTTAGGGATAAAGTCCCTGTCTTGAAGCAATCTCTCCCCCGGCCGCATCCCCCGGTCCATCCTGAAGGTCAGCAATGACCAGGATGTCAATGTGAAAGAAATTTCTCTTCCGGTCGGCACTGAAGAGAATGTGTTTGAGCCAGCGCGGTTCAGCAAAAATTCTTGTAGTCTCTTCACGAGCTATCTAGATCAACAGATATAGCTCTCTCATCAAGATGAGTTCTTTTCTTCCATGACGCTTCCTGAGCACATGATGCATCTGGTAAGCTTCGCGAATCGCAACTTATGATGCAAAGACAGAAACGCGATTGATTAACCCCCTGCCATGCTTATAGCAAGGCAAAGAGGGAGTCGGAAAACTGCTGAAGCGGAGCATGAGACCTGTGTCCTTGTTCACATTGGTTTACACATCTGGGGAGTATCGACAGTGGACAGCTGCATATCGTATCTCCTAGTCTCATTCGACTTCGAGACATCATGGGAGTTCTGGCTTGACCGAGCAAATCATGAATTGCCTCCGAGAAACCAAGCCACTATCTATGGCTTGGGATTTCTTGCTTGTACCTGCTAACGTCCAGAGAAACCAATCCCGCATCAACCCCGCGGGCCATCACTCTTCTCACATTTCTACAAGCTGCACCAGCGTAGAGAGGGCTGGCACTGCCCAAGTCCATGTTAACCCAGCTGTCAGCAGTCGCCTCAGCAAATGCTGGGTTTGACAGAATCGCACCGATCTGTCCAATGCAAGAACCACGAAAGGAAACAAAACACGGTGCAAGCCACTATAGGGGGGAAACTGCGAAGAAAATTGCTAGGTCTCATTGCTGATTGATTTCGGTCTAGAGCCTGCACAAGAGCTACTGTCGATATGTGCTCGTCACTTAAAGCACTATGAGAAAGCCCAGCAGCTAGAGACCTCTCCGGTTGCTAGACTGACTCGCTCCAATCATCCCGTCAAGAGACTCACTGCGCAGAGACGGTTTAGACCTACCTCTGCGGAATTTCTTGAATGAGCGCATCTACAATATGTTGCTCAAGTCAACATGTGATCAACAACCCAAGATCAAGCGTGGCTGGATGGGTCTATACAACACTGATGCCAAATGTCAGTAAAACATCCAACCAGTTCACTCCTAGCCATGCCTCCAGGTATCTATGGTGATCATCCATTTCGGCCGGATTCGAATTTCCTTCTCCCCTACAACAGGGGGTCATCCAACCCCGGGCTGCCGTGTGAGAGACAACCCGATAACTATCATTTTCTCGATTCGATACAACTCGGCAAGAGAATTCCAGACGGATAGCAAGCGTATCTGGGCCATTTGCCGAGCCAGCTACGAGGAGCGAGATGTGGCCATCCTCTTTCTCGCAGATGGTACAGGTTGCTCAATGCAACACAAAGACGATAGATCGCCTCTTTCTGCAACGCATTGCGCTGTGCATTCACGGTCGTCTTACTGCCACGGCCCTACTCAAATGGCGGTGCTTATGCATACGCAGGTGGGACGTGTGCAGTCCAGAAATAGGCCGGGAAGAAGTCAAACAATACCTCACGTTTGGCCTTGGATAGAGCTAATCTTGCTACTGACCATGTTTTGCCTCATTAGACGACGGCAGACACCGAGGAGGCATACAATTATGCTGCAGCTCAGATGAATCACTATTACGATCAGCGTCACAAACCAATATCATTTGTGAAAGAGATTCTTGCCGACCTCACACATGCGAATCATCAAAGGCAAAACCAATCAGCATTACGTGAGCCCGCTGCGAGTCCTTGAGCATGTCGGCATGTTGGCGTATATGCCCACCACATCGAAGATCCATCCTGTCATTACGTACGGATGATCCGGAAACCCACCTACTTCCCTCTTTTGCATTACTAGAAATGCAATGGATCCTACATAGAGTGCTAGCGATGAGTGGAGCTGCGAAGTTCGCGACATCGGATGGTGGTGTCTTTGATGTCGAAATTTATATCCCCGTTTCGGATGAGGAGCTGAGAAGCTTAGAACGCATGCAGAGTGTTTCCGAGCATAAGGAAGATTCAATCGGTTTTCGAGATGCCATTACGAGCAAAGCGCGACAAAATGAATCAAAATGAATCAACTTCAGCCCCGGCTATGCGCAGCAACAGCAACAGCTAACTTAGGCCGACCTTACTGCATTGAAATAGAGAGTCCAAATGCCAACGATTCGCTTGGCGAGTTTGAAGGATACACGGTAATCGAAGACGCATTTTGCATTTTCCCATACCTACAACATCATCTCATCTGTGAAACATGGCATATTGCTTTGTCGAAGTAACCCGAGAGGCCCGCTAATGTCTGCCTTGAATTCGAAAGACTACTCACTGCTTTAGGTGATTTGAGACGAGTCGGTCTGCAACAAACGCTCGTCGGACAAATCAATATGCCATGTATCGTTCCAGGCTGAGAAAAACGCCCGCAATCACAGAGGTTTGGATAATCAGCCAGCCTAGGATTGAGCCCATGGACCCTCGATAAGAGGAAGGTTCCACTTCCAGGAGGCTGGCTGGTTGAACAATACGAGACGGCCTGAATATCCCTTGAGCTTATCGCTGCTTTGAGATATTCGTCACAGCAAGGCAGCAAGGATGCCGGTGGACTTAGTGAAGGCGAGGCGTGGCTTCACTGCAACGTAGGGACGGCAGCGGATGGAAGCTTTACCCTCGTGGAATGCCTGCTACCTCAAACTGAGTCCATCGACCCACCAGCTATAACATTTTGCATCGACACAGTCGAATGGGACCATTCTGAGGTCAGAGGGCCAATGGACATGCAGATCTGCAAACATGATCCCGGCTGCTCCCCACTCCCACAAATGTAGTCCAGTTCATTGCGGAAGTCATCGAACAGCGTGTGCAGCATCTCCGGCTAAGCCTCGAGACCCGAGCGCGGGAGATGGCAGGCTCACCTGAAGCACGTCTGAGGAGTCGTCACGGCAGCCCGGCCTTCAAGGAACCTTCTGCTAATACTAAACGGGTGAAGAATCGGATCAACTGGCAAGGAAAACCTCCGGTCCACTATCGAAAGGCTTCGGGAAGACACCCTGCGCCTCGCGGATGTTCATGGTTGCCACATTGTTCGCGGCTGGACGCCCTGTGCTCGCGGAGAATCTGCAATGGTGGCTGTAGATGAGGCGCCGATGTAGCTAGTCCTAGCCGGCTCCAGACCTACAGCAGCACTGCTCATCAGCGGTTGTAATGGGTATCCCCTGGCTTTCTGTACAGATCGTATCCAGTCATTGCCAAGCTTCGTCCTGAACTCCACAGGTTCAGGACTCTGACAAAAAGGCTTTAATAGATGTTTCTCACTCACCAAGACAGCATCTCGCCGTCTTGCTTTGCATCTATCACTGATACAGAAGTCCATTAACCATTGAAGATGAATAGATTGATGATACTCCCCACCCACCCCCCAGCAGCAGCAGGAGCCAAAGCAGCAACAAGAGCAGACCCTTGCGGCTCTGATAGATGAGATATAGTTTCTTCAGGGACGCCTTGATGATGCACGGTTCGTAAAGGAGATCGACCATGATCTGATGAATGTCAGGTGTGATGCAAAAAGGATCTCCTTGCGTGACTCCCATTAACCGAACACGAGACGCGGCAACCTCGGGATGTACCGGGACGGAAACATGCTGTTTCACAGGGTGACTAACAAGGCGGACAGTACGGGATGGCGCCGACGCTGATCGGCCTGATCGACCACGGCCTGCGCGCCCTGGACACACTGTTGCACGTCGGGCGCAGGGTCGGTCTGTTACTGGGCCACATCCGGCGGCTGCTTTACATTGCGAGGGAGGTGGCCCGGCTCGGAGGGGAGATCGTGGCGGCGGTTGCAGGTGGTGGGGAGGACGGGGAGGATTTGACAACTCGTCCCTTCATCAATACCTTTTTTGTTTTCACGGGTACGCATCGCAGGAAGAGCACATTCTTTGGACTAGATACACTTTCAAAAGGCCTTCTGAAACAGATGGCTTACCATGTCGCTTGGGTGACCTGGCTTGAGCACATTGACGCGCTTGTACCACCTCCGGGTCAATTCAATCTTGATACTCAGCGACAAAAAATCGCAAACTATTAGCCTAGACATTCTTCTCGGAGATGTGGAGGCACGTCGCCCACGGACTCATTGCCGGTCATCCGGCTGGTGCAGCGCGAGGAGGTTGGAATCCGACTAATGACCTTGCTAGTCCGAAATGGCGCTGACCGATGCGTCACGCTTCTCTGGTGATAGCTTTTGCTAAGACCCTTGAAACCTAAGTACTATTGGGTCCAAATCCCGAGCACCGACCTCGAACTAAGCATCAAAGAGCTCAGCGTGCTATTTTGTACTAAGCTGGTGCTGTATTCTTCCGCTGAGACAGGGCTAGACGCCTCGGGAGCACAGAATCTAGGCCAGAAGTCAAAGGCTTGCCAGTAAGTATTACGCTGGCCACCTTTGCTAGACAATTATCAGATCCAGGGCCACCTGATGATATACTAGACCTACCACCGATAATGGGTGTACATCGCTCAGGACCGTGTTGGCTCAATTGACCGTCTGATCAAGACTCGTTGGATCATAACGGACTGGATGAAGTCCCATTGCACACGGCCCAGTTGTGTCACAACCTCTTGTACCGTTTGATCAAGATACAGCTCTCATTCATTCAGCGACAGTGTGGCGTGCAAAACGCAGAGGTTCTTTTCTGGACCAGCTAGCCCTCCTACGCAAAACTCATGGGCCTGGGTACCTCGAAGTCGGGGTTGAGCAACCGTGCCCTTGGGAAATTCTGTCATGGCTGCTGCGGGGACGGACCAGCCGGGCAAGTATGGTCGAAGAACGGCAAAGTGATCCGGAGTCAGTATGATCGATACAGAGGCTGGATGTCCTTTTCGAATCAGTTTTATCTCCTTCTCAAGGCGACCCAGGTGTCGATGCTCCCGATATTGTCGCACATCTCCATGTCCAAATTTAGGCGGTCGTGTCAATCCATGGCGTGGACCAGAGCGAATGGACCATTACGCCACTTGTAAACTGCCTTCAATTTACTCCATATGGTCTATTGTCGTCTGCAGTTGGGCTTTCTTTGTTTATACACTTAGCCTGTGCTTACTACACTCATCCTCCCTCTTCTATCGAAATCTCGCAATGAAGTAGCGTTGCGGGCCACCCTGCAGCACACAGTCCTCCATTGGGGTTGTGTTGTTTCGAGCCCGCGTGTACTCATCCCAATGCTCATCCCAGTGCTTGGAAGAGCTGAATGAATTCACTCTCTACTCCCATGATGGCCAAACAGTTGAATGTCTGGGAAAATCAATCGCGTCACAACTGACACTTCAGTCATGTGTGGAAGACCACCTTGCCCGACTCATATGTTGGGTAAAAGACACAATTTTGGAAAGCAACGAAGGGGATCTTCAACAACAGAAAGACCTCAAACAGTGAGAGTGAACACGGCAGTGTGCAGACTGAAAAATATATTGCAAGAACATATGCACACCCCCCAGCAGTTGAACAATATGCTGCTAAGCAAAAGCGTTATTTGGGATTTCCGAGACAGGCTGAGGAGTCAGTCACCCAAACAGACATATTATCCTAGTTTTGGCTCGCTAGAATGACAGCAGGCGACTCCTGGCTCACAGATGTGGCATGAAGCACCTGCATCGATGGTCCTGTTCAGCATGAAGTTTACTCCCGTGGGGAGACTGTAGCCCTGAATTGGGCCCACTGATGCTGTACGAGTGGATCCAGAACCGCCACTTGATGTGGAAGTCTCCAAACTTGACTGTGCCAAGGAGGGCATACGGAACTATCTACGGTCTCCCCCAGGTCCCCGATGTCGACAAGATTCCTGAGGCCGGTAAGGGGCTCCTACGCGACAAATGCAAGCTCAAGGAAGTCCTAGCCAGTGGCTATACTTGGGGTCCTCCCGCCGATGCCCTCGAAAGTCACTGCAAGGCGAAATACAAGTTGGGGACAGTGTTGAATAAGAGGGCACGAGCGTTCCTTGGGGCCGCAGAGACTTGGTTCTTCGCGCAGCAGGACCGTTCCTTCATTGGCACACCCCTCGAACAGTGGCCTCTGCCGAACGATCTACTCCTGCGCTTGGCAAAAATCGAGCGTAACTAACCTGTGGCCTCCCTCCGATGGACTCTATCTTTTTTTCTCATTTCACTACTTCCTCCCTCCTTTTGACAACGGCGTCTAGCAATCGTCACTCGCGCTGTCTTGTTTGCAATGCTTTTTCGTTGAAGGAGAATTCCGTGTGCCTCGTATGAACGATGGAGGAAGTTATAGTCGTGCTAGATGTCTGCGCATGCGAGAGCAAAGATACTGGTACACAGGTCAATAAGACCCGCAAGGAGACTTCTCCTCTAAAATCGACAGATGCATTATCCTCTGATATCTGCCATGCTTCATCATCTCACCCCGTTCCATCGAGCGTCATCCCGAATCAGATTCACGGTTACTCAGCACCAAATCCTCAGGCGAAGCCCCTCCCATAGCGGATTAATGGAGCGCCGCAATACAGCTTCTGGGGTTGTTCAACCGAGAAGTGGTGCAGAAACCCTAATCTCAAGGTCTCAAACATTGCTCAAGCGAGGAAGTACCATCCCCCAGTGACGACGAACATCACGGCATCAATCCGTTCCTGCTGATACAACATGTCGCTATCGAGGTACCACAACAGCATCTATACAAGTCGGACTCACGGATTCCAGCAGCACATGCGTTACCGTACTCTGGAAAAATCGAGAAACAAACGTCAGGAAACCAGAACACCTAGGTCTAAAGCTTAGATTCCAAAAGATATCGGAATTAACCACATTTCACCCACCCAAAGCCTACATCTTTCTTCCCTAAGTACAAGGGTTGGTATGATCTGTGCGGTGGTGAAGCTGCCCATGCAAATCAGATCTGGATTCTGGGCCAGCAGCGCCTCAGTATCAGTATTACAATAACATGGTCCTTCTCGGCCGTGCAGTTACCAAACCGCCATCCGAAAGTCCCTGGCCGACCTGCACGTACACCTTTCCCCCGAGGATACAAATGGAACCAAGGGAAAGGCTTTCAAAGCAAACGAACTGTAAACCACATTCAACTCGACCAGATATCTCCCGAGATCTACAAGCAACAAGGGGGCATGGCGGAGAAAGGCCACAACATGAAGAACGTGAGGAAACTTGCAAAGCAAGATTCTTCGGCGACGAATCTGCATTATCTTTCCAGCCATGTGGAATCTACTCTTAACGGTCAAGCAGTTAAACAATTAGAGTATTCAGAACGTTGGTCTGAACGCAAATCCGTTTGAGCCAAACCCGGACCCTTGTATCCCCTTTGTAAATCAAGTGTTTACGACCATGGAGAATACAGGTATACCGACATCAAGAGCATTACACATTACATGATAGGGAACGACGGCCAACACTCGATATCACCGCATCACACCCGGCCTGAAGGGCGAGCATGGTCAGCATCATTCAGACGGGGGGAGCATTCAAGTGCACCCACTGGAAGGTGTACGCCTAGACGATGCGTGGGTTCTTATGGGCAATACGACTGACCTCTAGTGAAGTAAGAACGAGCCATCCGAATACCCCGCGCAGGACCTGAACCTATTGGGCTCATCAGACAGTCCAGAAAGCCAACGGGTTCTTGTAATTATCTGTTGACTACGCAGTCTGGTGCGGACCGGACCTCGAACTCATCGTGCCAGCAGTTAACCACTTCTGGATCTCATCAACCCCGCGCATGACTTGTGATGGTACCCAGTGGTCAAAGGAGGTTACCGTCCATCTTGTGCGGAAAGCAGCGCGGGATACAGGCAAAATTGGGGACTCGGCTACCCATTAAGAATGTAGACGGCTTGGACACTCCAAACGGCAAATGGCAGGTCGAGACATTCGATCCAATCGAAGAAAAAAAGTCGTGAAGCTTTTACAATCGCTTTTGGTGAAAGCCACACTGGGTTGAACTCTGGGACGACTACCTGAAGTTCAGGTGAGAATAGGCTAGGAGTGAGAAACTGCAAGAGTGGATGAAATGGCTTCAACCTCGAGAAACTCATCCGAAGTTTCGAATGGTGCACCAGGAACCTCTGTGCATTGCAGTCAAATCGCGACATACATGAATGACTGTGCTCTACTTTCAGGGGTCCTGTTCTTCTTGGACTCATCACCACTGAGAACATGAATCCAGCGACCAGTCCTCAGTTTGTCCCTCGTGACACTCCCTCCCCTCCTGACACCACCACGGATGAAGCTGTTGACTAGGCCAGTATTATTGACAGCTGGGAAGAGGAGGAGGAATCCCAGGGGGTGATCGAAGCTAATAACCGTTTTGATGCGGTCCTTAACAATCTGTCGGAGGCTGAGGCTGAAGAAAGTGCAGATCCTATGGAAGCCGCCATGAGGGATCTAGATGACATCGGAAGCTACAATCTGCAGGTCCCTTCCACCAGCAGTGATCCATCGTCGGTGACTTTGGAGGGAGAGTCGTCTCGTGCTCAGGAGAGAACCATTGACGTTGGGACTGAGGCAAATAAACTGACTATCTTCGTCGGAAGGATAAAGCAGCCCGCATAGGACACCCGGAAGGATGAAACGTATCAGATTGGTTATAAACTGAGCTTGGAAACATGAGGCTATTCGTGATCAAAGAAAAAACAAGAGAGAGAGGGAGAGAGAGAGAGAGAGAGAGAGAGAGAAGGAAAAGAAGGAGAAGTCTTAAATGAGAAGGGTCAGTCATTGTTGGAAAGAGATGCTGATGCTCTTATCCGAGACAAAAACAAAAGTTAAGAAGACCAATACCACCGAGAGATGCGCAAAAATCCTACATCGAAACTCATCGCAACAACAATGCCATTCAGAAACCCGCCACTCTTGCGCGCCAGAAAGAAGCTAGAGCTGAGAAAAAATACTACTGTGACTTTTGCAAAGCCTTCCTATCAAGGAAGGCATCAGCGCCGGGCACCTCCTCGCTCCTGCTGCCACAGTACTGACCCCAGAAGATCGGATATTGTTATAAAAACCGCATTAGATCCAGACCAGCTTCAGGCATTCATCATCTTTCCAGAGCCGGCAGAGTCTCCGACAAAAACCCATTTTATTATAGCTGACGCACCTGCAGTCCTAGCTCATGCTGAGCGCGGCGAAGACCAAATCACCAACCAAAATGCGATTAACAATTATTTCATCGGCCTACGGGCTGCTAATATACCTGATTTCAGAGCAAACATCAACACCATTCTGGATGAACTGCTTGAAACCAGGCTTGATTACTACCCCGAGGATCATATACTCGCCTTCCCTCCTCTGCTGCTTCGCGTTGACTGACCCGTTGAAAGAGCCAGAAGACCCTCACCTTCTGGAACCCCGGAGGCTTCCATGAGTGATGATTCCACCCCATCCGACTTCATTCGTCTACACTTGGAGGCGAGCAGATATTCGCTTCGACTCATCGACCTCCTCGAAACCGAGCTGTTCAAATGGGAACGCATCAATCTATCGCCTGAGAGAATTCGGGTTCGCACGGCGATACTGTTAGAGGTAGGCACCGAGTCAATCATACCCGCTGACATTCTCGATGTTGAGGGATACTCCTTCAATCCACCTCCACCCTAACCCAATGCTGCTGCTGCTATGGGTAGGGCGTGCGTGCAAACCTTCGACAACAGAGAATGCGGAGATTGAGTCGACGCGGTCTCCCAGACATTCACTCCCCTTGGGGCGAGATTCCATTTACCTAGTGTCCTGATTCTAGACAAACGCGGACGAGGCACAGTGTGTCAGATCCAATTCCCTACGTGCTGGAAAAGGCGTGGCAATTCGTGGACTAAGAACCATGTGGAATCTTTCGGAAAAGTGGAGAAGTGAATCCTTGGGGGGGGGACTATCGATATCGTTAGATGGATTGTGAAAATCAAGTGGCTTTGATATAATATCGGAAATAACCTTCGAATTATGTTACTATTCCTTGAGTTCAGATCACAAAACATACATACATATCAATGGCATCCCTGGCGAAGGCACCAGCGAGCAATACTAGAGCCCTACTTCCATTTGCTAGCCTTACAAGAAATCTGAGAGAGGACGAAACAGCTGCAGCATTGATTGGTAGAACTTGAAATAAGTAAGAAGCACTGTCAAGCCCTTCGTAGTCGGGACGGGACCCCATCATGTCTTGTCTTTTCTCTCCTTTCTTTCGTCTAACTCGGTCCAGTCCAACACGCACTTCCGCTCGCAAGGTCCCCTGCAAATCCATATCCGTGTCCGTATTAATCCGTATCCATAATCCATGACCATATTCCATACCCATATCAGCATCCCAAGCCCCCAACGGATCGAATCCCATGTCTACCGCTGGACTCAAAAGAAGAAAACCCAGACCACGATTCAACAGAAAGAAAAAGGAGAAAAAAAGTTATGGCGCACGAAGCCTCTATTTCAGACTCAAGTATCGTACCCAAGACCCCCACGGACGCTCTCACCAACCAACTCGGGGATGATGTTGAAAAAAAAGTCCCCTGTGCTTTTCTTCCCACTCATGACAGTCAAGTGCGTCGAATTCTGATTTGGAAACGTGCAGAGATGAATCCTCGCTTGTTGAATCGAAAATTTTTGGGGGGAAAATGCTTGATGTATGTACAGTAAAAAGAGGTAGTAGCTAGAATTCTAGCTGCTGTTTTCTATATTAAAAGGCGAATGCATTAGAATGGGGGGCAAGAATTTGTTAGTGCCAAGTTGTTGTCTGGTGAGACTGAGATGCTAGTCGATCTTCCGGTCACGCCTCTTGGGCCCAGCGACGCTCACGGAGGGGCATCTCTTCCTGAGCCTGGACCCGAGATCCGTCCGTCTCACGACGCCAGGCGTAGTATTCTCCGAGGCGGACCTCGGCGTAGGATGCGTAGTCAAAGTCGATCTGGGATATTTGGGCTTGGATGAGGGACCAGATTCCCCTGTAGACGTGTGATAAGTGGTCAGTGTTGATCGTGTAAGAATGCGGAAATTTTTGACTCAACGCCAGACATACCAGTATAGACCGGGGATTCCGCGGAACCGATCGACATCCTCGTAGAGGCGGTCGACGATTTCTGGCTGGAATGACTCGGGGATTCCCTTGTGGTAGCTGTAGCTCTTGACATATTCGGTCAGGAACTGGCGTCGGACGGACCGCGTCGGCATCATGTTGTAGTCGCAGTCGTAGCCACCCCATTCAGCGAAGTGATTCGCGATGTCGAAAGCAGCTGGGGAGGGGGTCGCGTATTCGTAGTCGATGAAGTTGACCGTGGCGGGTTCTTGATCTTTAGTGGTGACAGCGTGCCCGTTTTGCTTTTGCTCCGAGGGGAGGACAATGACGTTCGCACAGAGGAGATCGCAGTGGGAGAAGACCAGCTGGTGGGGAAAAAGCAATTAGAGATAGAACGACACATATCCGTGATCATGATTCTACGTACGCCGCCTTCACCAAGTCCCTTGCCATCATCCAGTTCACGCACGACCCGTTCAAGCTCCTTCTGCAGACTCAGTCTCCGCTGGCGCTGCTCCTCCGTTGCGGTGGGCAGAGCAAGGATCCATTTTTGGGTGACAGTCCAGATATTGGGTCCAGGCTGCCTGGTCTTCACCACGGACAAGCTACCTTCCTGCTTGGACTGTTGCTGATGGTCTTCTGAGTCGACGTCTACTTGTCGCGTGAGGGGTACGTTCTCGGATTCCTTCGAGGTTGCAGGAGTCCCACCGACGGGCAGGACGGCATGCCACTGCGCGAGGCGTCTAGCAACACCGCGCCAAACTGGAGGCGTCGCTAGATCCTCATGGGTAGCCGGCCGACCACGGAGGAAACGATACAGAAGGCCGTTCTTGAAGCGTGCCAAAAGCGGAGGAGCGAGGCCATAACTAGCGAGGAGCGCGTGGGAGCTCGTTTCTCCTATAGATTCGAAATTCTACTCAGCAAAGGTGTCGCAATGGGCAAGAAGGGAAGAAGAGAAAGGGGGGTCGCTTCTGGAGTAGTCCCCTTTCCCCGGTGTAGCATACTTTCGCGGTCTATAAGAATCTCTGTGTGGTTACCGTACGCTCTCATCAGTACTGCATCGTGATCTATCTGCTCCTCGGTCAAACCGGGTTTGCGGTTGATGATTTTAAGAAGCTAGACCCTCATGTTAGTCCATGGCCCTCAACGTGGATTATTTCAGACCCCGTCGCATCTGCGAGAAGAGCATGGTTTTGCGAGAAACACACCGTATTGGTGATGCCGTCCGTGAACCGCACGAATTCAATCTTGTTTTCAGGTCCCTCCCAATCAGGGTTGAGTGTGAGGATTAACCGCAATGCGGAAGCGTGAGAGTCGGCATGGTTATATGATAGGGGAATATAGCGCAGGGCCGTCCCGTTCTGCTGGCACAGAGTCATGGCAATTGAGAAAAGTTCAAAAGAAAAAGGAGCGAGGGGGATAAGAAAACGAGGTAGTGAAAGTGAAAGAAAAGTGGTCAGGGGCGTATGCGACAGGTCGACCGCAAGGTTACTAATATTAGTATTCTATGTGACTTCAAAGCGCATGTCAGTCCAGGTCCGGTAGATGATGATTGTAAGGGTTGCGATTTGTCTTGTAAAGTATTCATGTTATAGCAGAGAATAGGAAGACCAGGATACATATAGGAACTTCCGTACCAATCAGCCAAGCCCGGGAGAGCGGGTCTTGGGGGAATTTCTCCTGATACTGAGTAGAGTGGATTAGTTGAACGATCTTGCCAGCCCACGTAAGGGTCAGGAGTACGAATTGGCCGGCAATTGATACTCTGGAAGCGAGCAAGTGCGGGTGGAAGAGAAGATGCAGCAAGACCGAAGAAAGAGTGGCCACAAGGGGTAGTTGAGTTTAAGGATTGGAGGTAGAGAAAAGAAGGAGAAGGGGAACTGAAGTGGATGAGCGTTGCTGGTCTCGTGCCCAGCTTGCCACTGATTGGTTTTTGGCGGCGGGCCCTGAACGCCCCTCCTTTTTTTTCCACTCGATGCTTCAAGCCTGAGGCCCAAAGGCGACCAACCACTGCTCCTTGATCATGTGCAATGACGCAGTAGGATGAGGGGCAAATTGGTTCTTGCGCGACAATAGGCAACAGAGTATGAGACAAGATATAACCCAGGCCTTCCCTTCAGATGACCACCAATATCATTGAGGATGGAAGTGATACAAGTGAGGTAATTTGAAGTACACGTACAGCAGCAGGTTGCGCGTTGCTGTAACTGATCTAAGCCGCTTCGGGTCTCGCCTTCTCAACAACCAAAGCAGATTTAGCATGTGATTCTGCTGCCCACCTCAGATCACGTGCTTAGTGTCAAGAATGCATCACGTGCTTGTTCTCAACCCCAGCCCTAACTTCAACTCTTCTCGGTAATCCACTAGTCCCGACTCCAGTTAGTGGCTCCACCGCCGTGGACTACATAAGCCCGCCGCTGCCCGCCGCGACTTTGATGGTTTTTCTTTCTTTTTTTCTTCATCATCAGTAGCGGTTTACTTACTTTATGTTATGTAAATCTTATCGGGGCTCCGTCACCGTACGGCTTGCTGAGGGTTACCTTGTGTGGGATTTTTCTCTATGGGTCTCTCCTCCGTTCCCGGCCTTGAAGAGCAACATACGCATTCCTTTTTCCCTTACAAACTATGGCTTAGCTAGGGTTTCTGCTCGCGAGAATAGATCCCCATGCGCATAAGCTGTGGAGGAGGCGTGATATTCCAACCTTGAGCACTTTCATGTTGGTGCTTGAGGTTCTGTAACTGTAAATTCCCCTTGCTGCATGTTGCGAGGTGTCCGACGTAACTGTCGCATGTCTGCATCGTATGCTTGGAAAGCAGAGTATTCTCGGCACCATAGGCGGCTTGGATGGTGGTCTCTTTGGAGACTTTGCACTTCCGCATTGGGCTTGTGGAACCTACGCTTGACACCATCATAGCTACCGAGTACGCATCTCGTGTGTGCCTTGCTGTCATGTCTCCTCAAAGCAATCATTTCATTTCCATGCTACATATACTTTCTTATGCCATTATGTGTCGGTTCATCGGCTCTTAGCCTGTGATGGTATATTATATTTTCATAATCCGTGCCGTGCCCCCCAACGTGCTCAAGCCCTGCCAGCCTTTCCGACCTGGATGCGCTCTCCAGTCCATTTATCGTCGCTCCGCAGCACCGGCCAGCTGGTGCCGTCCGCTTTGACCAGTGTCAGTTCCAGCTTCGTCCCCATGACACGGAACTGGGACTTCTCGGCATCGATTGGTGCGAACAGCTGATAGGTATCCTTGTACCGCTTGTTGTCCGTCGTAGGAAGATCCAACTCCAAGGATGTGGCGGTGAACTGGACCTTTGCGTTCTCTTTGTCGATCTTCTTCAGGTAGAGAGAGACGTTGACGGAGGATGGCGTCTGGTAGAAGTCGTTTCTGTAGAGACCAAAGGAAAAGGAACATGTCAGCCCTGCAGTTCCGGTCACGCAGCTAGCTCTTCCGGCCCTGGGGTAGCACGGTAGCGATCACTTACCTGACAGTGTCCACCTTCTCCTCACCCGGCGGCTTGCCCTTTCCAACGAACAGATGCTTCGTCTTCTCCGTGCAGCCCTGGATCTTCAAGAACTCATCGAACTCGAGCACCCGCTTCTTACAGCAGGACCAGCCCTTGCTGCCCTCGTGGAAGATGGGTGCGCCGGGGTGGAACACGCATTTCTCGTCCTCGCGCGCCACGGCGGAATCATATCCCTTGTTGCAGCCCTTCCGGCGACAGGTGGCGTTGGCCGGGATCTCGAGATCGGGGTCGTCGGACTCGGGCTCTTCGGGAACAGGAGTAGGCGCATTGGAAGGAGGGGCAATGGCGGGCGAGATGGCATGGCGGGGAGGCTCCGCCACCGGCGTCGAGGCCGGGGCTAAAGGAGCCTCTTCGACGACCGGTTGCGGGGCAGGCTGAGGGGTATCGTCGACGGTGGAGTGTTTGCCCGTGGTGCATGGGGGGATGGCGAGGAATTCATCGAAGGTGAGAACGCGGGGCTTGCAGCATTTCCAGCCTGGGTTGTTGGATAGTGGTTAGTCCTGCGGTGCGCCGGGGGAAGTCGAGATCGGGTCCTCAAAAGTATAAGACTGGAGTATAACGAACGACTCAAACCAGGGAAGTTCGAAAATCTTCCACAAGGTCCCTGGAGATCATACCTTTTTGACCTTCGTGGAACACTGGCGGGCCGGGATGGTAAACGCAGGGCTCTTCGGGGTCGGTGAACTCCTTCCCGCAGCCCTTGTGGACACACTTGGAGGCCATGGTCATGAATGAGAGTATGGAACGGGGAGACTGAGAGAGCACCGGCTGCCTTGTCTTTGGGATGGGAGAAATAAGACTGATTTCCCTCACCGTGAGGAGAAATGCGAGTTTGTCGCATCGAAGCGCGCAGAACCGCAGCTGGAGGGCTGGCCCAAATAGGCTTAGCCCGGGGGAGCTCGAAGGTTCCATTGTTCATCCCCAACTTCCGCCCGTTGCGTTGTCCGCTCCCGCTTCTCCGTATACTTCTCTTCCTCAACTTTCGCGGTGCGATTCCTGGTAGCTGTGCGTCAATCATGTTTCCCACTGCCATTCGTCTCTCCAACGCTGTGCGCGTCACTCTCTTCACCCGTGCTGGCTGCGGGCTCTGCGACACAGCCAAGCATACCGTGACTCAATTGCACAAGCGACGTCCCTTCGAGTACACCGAGACGGACATTGCTCTTCCCACCAACAAGCCTTGGAAGGATGTCTACGACTTTGACGTTCCAGTTCTGCATGTGCAGACTGTGAAGGGAGATGCGACTCTCTCCGATCCGAAGAAGCTTTTCCACCGATGGACCGAGCAGGAGATGGAGACGCTGATTTCCGAGGCGGAGAACCAGCAATCGTAAATGCATCAACTTCATTCAGCTATGCTTGCAATTTTGCATACATGACGAGCGATGATGCTACCGGTCATGGCTAGTTCAGCAATCATTGCCTGCTATTAGCAGGATCGCGCAGCACGCTTGATCTCGAGCAATGGCACGAGACGTGAGCCGAGCCACCCTTTAGGCAACTACAGAGCTACAGATTTCGTTGTCATCGATCGCATTGTCTGGATCAACATGGCACATACAATGCCTGGGTTACAGTCTTAGCTTTACCTCCGCGCAAATGTCTGTCACCAGACAGTTTTGTGGACGTTCCACAGATTGCGCTGACAAGACGATGGGCAATTGCTCATCAGTATTGTCGACCATATTCGAATGTCAAATATGAGACCTAACATCGATACGGCGCGTACCCCAAAATTCAGAATGAAAATTTCAGGTGCCTTGCCTGTCAGGGTAGTGCAATCTGGTATGCTCGCACCCTGGTCAGCGGTCTTCTCTTCAGCCTCAGGAGCCCAACAACCTCTAGCTCAATTGGTATATCACCCTGCAAGTATAGCTTATACGATAGCATTCAGCAAAAGCAACAAGAGTCTCTCAATCTCACCTCATGACACCACCTGAAATAGAACAATATATTCTCCGTATCACATAGCAACACTACCACCACCACCACCACCACCACCACCATCACCATAAGCCCAACCATATACACCCAACCCTCACACTCCCATCCTCCACCCATCACCCCACTTTCCTCAACACAAAGACCCTAACCAGAACACCCATGACTCCCCTCCGTCGCCGGGTCCTTACAACCCCCCGCACACAGCTGCGCATGCCCCACATCCCCCGGATTCTTGCAATGGAACAAGATATCCGCTAGATCGTCATTCTCCAGCCCGGTCCCCTGCAGTGCCGTCTTGAGGTCATTCTCCGTGAATCCTGCACCCACCTAGAGCGTCAGCATCATGAATCTGTACACCACAGCTTTTCATTCCCCCTCTTGTGGTTCCCGCCCACGAACAGAACCGCCTCCCCGGGGAAGAACCACAAGCATTTAGAAACCAAGCGCCCCCTCAATCGCAGTGGCAGAGAGGAGAGAACTCACCCTTCGAACTCAACAGCTTATTAGCGCAGTAATCGAAACTCGGGGTGCAGGTTTTGTCGGCGAGGGTGCTGGTGGCGAGGGCTAGGAGGCCGGTGAGGAGGAGGGTTGTTGTTGGTTTCATTTTTGGGTGGGGAACACACCGGGAAGAGGTTGGGCTGAAGAGGGGTTCTTGTGTGATTTTGTGGAGAACGGTTTGGTTGGGTTGTGTTGTTCGAACTACATCGGGGCTTGGGGGAAGGTCGTTGTTTATGTAGACGTTTTGAGCTGGTTGGTTTTGTTTGGTTTCGTGGGGAAACAGGGGAAACAGGGGAGAGGCATTCTTTGTGATGTTGGTAGGAGGTTTCTATTTACTACGTACCCATATCTCCGAGGCAGAAACAGACAAGGTGAGTGGAATGCGGAGGAAAGGGGGACTGGGACGACTGGAACGCGGCGGTCCGGGAGTTGGTATGTACATGTCGTAACTACGTAGGTCCTGGACCTGCTGGACTACAGCTAAAATGCCATAAAGCCTTTAGGATCTGGATCCCAGATACCGGCTTGCTCCATTCTTCCAATTGTCCGCAGGAGCTAACCAGGTATAAGACGAACGGCCATTCCATGTGGCGCGCCTGGATTTCACACCATACACATCTTCTATGGAAGACATGAACTCCCCAGATAACAGACATTACTATATATATTATCACTATGGGCTGATGAGTCACCTCTCCGACACCGAGAGACCAAAGCAGCCAGGCTCTAGTTACCCCAAGAGCTAGGTACAATCCGTCCCATTCGCAGAAAGACAGACCATTCTGTGCAGCCATTCCCCCTGTGAACAGAACGTGAACAGAACGAGTGTATATCCATGGAACCCAACATGACAGACCCCAAACCGCATCCAATAGAGTCCATCGAGAAAGCAATGTACACGTCAAAAGAATTACATCAGGCATTATAAAGCTCAAATGGAGCTACTCTGAACAGGAAATTATGAGCCGGACCCAGCCGGCACAAAAGAAATGAAACCAGAGGCAGACATTCATGGCGGAGGGTAAGGGTGCACAATGCCAAATTGCGAAGAGGTTGGCATTTCTCGTTTCGAAATCTAGAACTCATGCGTCCGAGTCCACGATGACGGGAGCTGACTGCCACCCACGGTGAACTCATCGCATACGTACCAGCAGAACTAAAACCACATGACGCCAGCGACTATTGCAAGCACAATGGCCATACAGCTGCCACTGCGCACTCGCTCCGGTTCAGCTTGATGTTCAACAACCTTGGACTGCTCCGTAGCAGTCAACGTCGCGGTCGGAGGGGTAGTGGCCTGCACGGACGCATCGATTGTTTGGGTTAGTGCAGATGGCTTTTGCGCAAAAGCCTGCCGCTGGGTCTCGTCTGTTGCCAATGCTGGGGGCACGGCATGTTTCGTATGAGATTCGTTCCGCGGATCCCAAGGCTGAGGGGAACCATCCGAGTTCATTACTTCCGAGCAATTAGAAGATGTTGTTGCGGCGGTATTTCGGAGCCCCTGGCGGCCTATGACGGTTTCTATATAGTCGTTACCAACACGGCAGGCCTGCTGCCATGAGGTCAGAACACATGATAAGAACCAGCTCGGCAATTCAACAAGTTTTGTCGTGTCCAGCATCGTACGCCCTCCTCCTTCATTACCGGATGCCAATAGGTGAAAATCCTCGTTGTGCGGAGGCGTCAGATGGACTGAGGTGTTTGCATGGTGCGGACCAAGGCGCGGTGATGTTTGATCTGTTACAGGGGCGTCGCTGTCAGAAGGAAAGGAAGGAACGGCTTGCGGGTCGTCTGTTTGCCGGGTGACCAATGCCTTGAAGGCACGTACACCGCGCCTGAAGGCCGACGACTCTTGAACTGTATATGTCACTGGATCACTATCGAGGATCGCCGCCGCTTCAAATGAACTCCGGGGAGGCGCATCCGTGAGCGGACGCCGTGGCCGGGATTTCCGATCGAGGTACGTCGAACGATCTTCCTCCAATGACCACGGCCTTGGTTGTCCACCCACCATTCGTAATCGTGGTCGCGCATCGACCAAGCCAGCCTTATCCCGGGAGACATCTGCAAGAATCCAATCGAAAGACATTAGTCTGAATACTGCGACAAGCGATGAAGCGAAAAGAGGAAGGGCACGCTCATACATCGAGGTTCACTGCGGAGATATCCAATGTGCCCGAAAGGCAGAAGATAGTCCCATTCCTTCGCCAATGACGGTACCAGGCTCAGCAACGAAAAGATCAAGAGAGCGAGAAACGGAATGGCCCCAGGTTTCTGGAGACCCGACCGCATCATACACAACTCGGCGACCTGTGGGCGCAGGCCTGACTTTCTCTATCCACGAAGACGCGATGTCTGATAGTATAGTCGGAGTATAGTCGGTGGGAATGTAGCGTGATTTGGAAATTTCGCAATCCGGCAGCTTCATCGCCGAAGGAGAAAAGAGACGGATAGGACCAGAAGCGAAGAGAAAAAAAAAATAACTATCAGATGGACTGATTCACAATTCTAGCGCAAGGTCCGGGCGGTACATTCAATTAAGTATATGGAGTATGACCTCGTAGGTGGTTTCTGAATCGTCTTTTCTCTGGCGGACTTGCGTCTAAATTGGAATCCTCTGCGGGTCTCAGGGTCTTGCGCGGTTGACGGCGTATTGATGGGATGCTGGTTTTCCCCTCTTCGTTTCTTGGGCGATGGATACTGTCGATCAATCGGGGCGGTCGGACGGTCGGTGAGCGAAGCGCGCGTCCTGAGATTGAAGCCTCCGAAGCAACGACCGAAGCACAAACACCGCTGCTGCAGGGGAGAAGAACAAGGAGGAGAAGGTTTGACTTGCGAACTCGCCAACAAAGGGCCGTCCGGTCACTTCCACAGGTCTTCCTCAGACTCCCGGAGGTGCAGGAGTCAAGCAACGCAATGACGTAGAAGACCACCGGGTCGTAACGTAAAATCGAGCTCGTCGGGTTCGCAAGCGGATGTTGCCAAGTCGGACTATGAGAGAGGGGCTGTCGTACCTAACGTAAGCGAGGGTCCATGATCTTGTCTGTGCTTGAAAGTGCTTTGGAAGATGTCATTACCGGTTTGGACTTGCAACTAATTGATACGTGACGCTGAAAGGACTGACATCTTGGGTTCTTCTGAGGAATGATAACGCCGTTAAAATTGGTGAGGGAACGAGCAATTGCTCCAGGCAGACATTTTGGAGGTCGTCCGTCGTATGGAAGAGAAATTCGCACGTCACGACTGGAAGTGCAAACACCCGCAAACTTTCAGGGGTCTGGTCGCCTCAGGCAGGATTTCTGCTGTCGCTTGAAGCTTCCACCCTGAGTTACTCCGTACGTGCTCCGTACTGCCATGGTTATCCACTGCAGATTCATCCCGAGATCATTTGCTTCATACACAACACTCAGTGGACCTATAGACAAGGAATGAAAATAAAAATAAAAATAAAAATAACGCAGCGTAACAGTAGATAAGCCTCCCCAGTACCGATCGAATCTAAACCAACACATGGAACAAGTATATACAGATCATGAGTACGTATACAACAAGAACGGAGAGGTCCAAGTTTATCAGAACAGAGATCAAATAGGGTTGACCATTGTCGGATCAGGCACGGCAGGCGGCAGGGATTCAGCGCTCGTCGGTTTCACTGAAGGTGCGGCTCTAGAGAAGGCTGTCGTTCGAGAAGACGGCGTGCGGGATCCGTCGCTTCGGGACTGTTCATCTCTGGGTGTCTCAGCGACAGTCGTACTGCCTGCTGTACTCGCCTTCCTTACACGTTTGACCATCTTGCCTAGTATCCCAACGATCTCCGCGGCATCCTCAAAACTCTCATCATCCATTCCCTCCTTCGCATTGTACACATCCGCGATGGCCTTTTTCGCTACTCGTCGACAGGCAAGTGGGTCATGGAGGCAGTCATAGAGGTAGGCGGCATACTCGAGCTTGATCGATAGCCGCAGAGGATGCGAACCCGGAAGAACGCGTTCCGCCAACAGTACCGCATAGTCGAAGCATTGCGTAGCCGTCTTGGTGTAATCAATCGCTGGTAGGAGGAAAGCCGACATTGACTTGGGCGGCTGAATTGGAGCAAGGCCTGGAGGAGCCTGTGTGACTCTGCGCCACAGCGCATTGTCTGGGGCTGCGGCCGATGCATCGGAGACTGAAATCATTTCGGGTCTTGGCTGGAACGAGTACCTCAATTCTGGAGGCTTGTTTGCCAAATCTGCTTTTGCAGTGCTGTTAGAGAAGGTTGCATTGTTCGGCAGATTGTCGATACCCGGTGCATGAATGGCAGGTTGGTTATGAAACAATACAAAAATGTGGTAGAAAGAAGCCCTCAGCTTAAAAGCGAGAATATTCAGTTCCACATACACCTGTACACGCGGAAGAACGCATTGCTCTAAAATGAGGAGACCTTCGCGAGCAAGCCATATAATATGGTAGTAGAGCTGAAGTGACTTGGTTTCACGGGTCGGATCGAGACGTCGTAAGCGTCGTGCACGGAGCAATTTCTTGGAAAGCATGACCGACAAGCCCAGTAACTTGTAGAGCATAGCGGACAGAAATGGATTCTCCAGGCTTGTTGTGGCCGCAAAGTTGCCCAAGGCCTTCTGGTCTACCTCGGAGGAAGCCATCCACAAAACCAATGACTCGGTGTCTATGGGGAGGCTTGCGCCAGTCGCATTAGCCGCATCCATATTCAAGTGATTGATTTGGCATGTACAATTGAGGGAAACCGCAGGAACGTGAATTGGTCGAATCGTGATAGATCACGTCGCAAACACTAGTTCAACCCACCAAGGTTGCCATGCATTGATGTATGAACGCTCAAATGCGGTTGTATGTGGCAAAGACAAAGCAAGGGAAGCGCCAATGCTTACCTAGACTGCGCACGCAAAGAATATATTCAGGACACGATCAGTCTCTGCAAATGCTGCAGCTGCCCATACTCGTGCTCGGCGCTTGAAATGTAAATTGGCTCCCTCGACTAGTCCGGCGTTTCTCGCTGTCCGGCTAAATTAGTGATGGCGGGGTTCCTCACCCTTCAACGTTCGTGCGCTTGATGCCTGTGTTCCCAAGTGGTGCGTATATATCAATATGCAGCCCTAGATGAGGGATTGATGTGCGATTCGTCCGAATCAAGTGGCTGAAAACAGAATGCCGCCAATATCCGACCAAAGAAATATATTACATGCAAGTTAATTATGAGGTACGCCTAGAGGAGATTGTGGCACGAAGGAGCTGCTGTACAGTGAGGAATGGCTTGAGAAGCAAAAAGACGAGTTTTCAAAGGGGAAGAGTAGAGTGTGATCTGTTACAAGTTCAAATTGGTAAGTTGAATTGCATGCATAGAATGAAATCATGCTAACCGATCAACAAACGAATTTGTGCAACCAAAAAGCACGAAACAAGGGAAGGATGTATAGAGAAAAATGTTAGAAACGCAAGGCACAGTAAGAAGAGTAGCCCACGGGATGAAGGCCAATGAGTCTGTTGTTGTATTCGTGGAGCAATTCTCGATGCATCGTGCTACCAGAAGCAGCAAGGCATTGACTGCACCGCCCCGCCAGCTTGCTGCCTGCGATGGCGGAGAAGGGTATGGTCAATGCTACTATCGATATCAAGATCGAGTATGCTATTGCATGAAGCAGACTTTGTATAACAGGGATAATTGACAGAAGATTCAATTGATCATAAAGAATCGATGATATCAGCCACCGTTGAAGAAGTGGATCAGCAGATGCTGCTTCGCAGGCGCGCAGACCTGGGGAGATTATGCCAGGAATAAAATTGTTGTTCGAGACGATGATGCAAGGGCAAGTTATTTGCCCGAATGGAGGGTCTTTGAGGATGCAGCGAAGTGGATGAAGCCCGCTGCGGCATGGGCGTGCTAATTAAAGTAAAGTGAAGGGCGGCGAAACTCCACCATAGAGGCAGGCACTGGACATAGTGAGCCAGTGAGTAAGGTCAAATCCTCGAGACCTAGAACATTCATTGATCAGGCGTCAATCCCGCTTCGTTACTCTTTCCGCCCCAAGGCGGAGGAAATCGGGCACGAATGGGAGGAATGGCTAGTAGCATTAGCAGCATCATACTCGAAAGTAGTCCAATTGCCATTCCCATATTATTGATAAACTGGCAAAAAGACAAAGTGGCATGTTGGCTGCTCCCGTCCCCCCCAAAAAAGACCAAGCCATGAGGCGGGAGGACAGCGCATCAACTAGTCCGATACGTGTCAGAGCCCAAGTGCTGAGTTTCCCTGCCTTGCAGCTCCTGGCCCAACCGGGGCGATGAGATAGGATTAGTACGGTGGATCGCCTGTCGCCAGCCTCTCTCTCGGCAGCAAGAGTAACACATGGGCTTTAAAGCCAATTGCAGCCGAGAGAAATCGACCGGAGCCAGACTATCGTAGTGGAATTCTCATTGTGCCCGAGCAAACCGCCACTGAGGACAGTTGCTCCGACTACTCCGTAGTAGAACGGAAAACGTGGGAGTTCAGCGCCCGCGTGCTTTTTAGCGGGGAGGGGGATGATGGCGGCCGGAATGACGACAGTCGGCAGCTGTCTGTCAATCGTGGCATTCGGGTCTTCCGTGCATCTTAAGTTGGGGCTGTGAGGGCACAATTTCACCACCAAGCAAACAGATGAGAAGAAGTTCGCCTCTTTAATGTAGCCAGAGGTGTGGTTATGGTTGAAAGGAAAGGATGATCATTGATGATCATGATGTTACCCCACTGGCAGGTCCGCCACCGCCTTGCTGACCGCTACAAGCGCTATCGCTTCTTGCCATCAGCCATGGTATCTTCCGGTTGTCAAGTAAATACAAATATTGAATTAGTCAAATAGCATATGTGGTATGTACATGCACCATAATTCGTTCAAATGAGCCAAAGATCAGAAACGACACCCAAGGGCCGTAACCTCGTATAATCTCTAGGTACTCATCGAGTGAAGAGCCGCCCAATCCCGTCAATTTATGTCGTCAATGTCGTCGCTTTTCAGTAGGCCAACGAAGGCCCTCGTCACGAATGTCTTCCATACACGGTTCTTCTTCTTTTTCTTCTCCGCTTCGATGTCCTGCTCATTGTAATCATTCTTTGCGTCGAGATCATCCAAGTCGGCTTCATCCACATATTCCAGAGAAGACGACTGGCCCTTGCGGGCTTCCCGCTTGGCGATTCGTGAAGCAAGTTTGAAGAAACTGCGTACAGTGAGGTCATCCATCTTATAGACCCTATCGTCTCGAGTGTTGTACTCCACTTCATAAGCGAATACATCGTCGGGCTTCGAACCAGTAACCTCTTCTGCTTCATCGCCTGTTGCCCCGCGACTTGCCAGCTGACTATTGATTCTAGTTAGGTTCGCAAAGTATTGAGTGTAGCCGAGCCAAGAAAGCGCTTGATTTGAGTACGCCGGTCCCGGAGGTGCGGATTTGGACGGAGGGCCTGGAACTTTGAAGTGGGGCTTCTTGCTTTGCTGTGCCTGTGTCTCAGACAACGGGCTGTCATCCTGCTTTCCCGGAGAAACGCTATCCAGGCTGCTGTGGGAAAATGTATTGGCCCAAGTGGCTGCATGTTCCAATCCAGTGATGTTATACTCCACAACTCGCAGGGTCGGGAAATAGTTCGGTACTACGCTGGGAGAAACCAACGAGACACTGTATCGTTCTGCAAAGGGTCCGCCGATTTTTTTCAAGAAGCGCTTTTTCTGCTTCTTCTTGGACCCTCGGACCGATGCGTCATCGTCGTCGAACCAAGCGTCCATCGAAAAGCTTTTCGACGTGCCCGCTGGAATAGACGGCAACTTCGACCAGTCTTTCCTGAGATTGGAGAGGTAATCGGAACGGGATTTCGTAGACAGCTCATCTGGGTCTCCAGCGCCGCCAAGATACGCGAAAGACTTGTCGACATCGACGATATCCACCTTGTGACTATCCTGAAGCATGAAATGGTCGAGATTCATGTGTCCATAGACACTGCCCACCACAACGTCCCGGAACTGGTGAAGCCACAAGGTATACTTCTGCCAGCAGGACTCATCCCAGTTCCGCTTGGAGCCAGCCCGAGCAGGAGGAACGTGTCCCATGAGAATAGCCTTCATGTGCCTCCCGCGCAACATTTCAAGCTGCACCCGCAGCCATTCCATATGCTCGTAACCTGGTTCGGATCGCGCAGCGCAGCCATCGACGGCCGAATTCGAGTCGAAGAAGTACATTGTGTTCAAGCTGACCACAGCCAGCTTCTCGGGAATCACCTCGGAAATGAACCAGCCACCTTCGACGAAGCTGTGAAGCTGATGCTCGGGTATGAAATTGGACCAGATCTCTCTGTATTGCTTTGTCCATCGATTGGGGCCGGCCTTGAAGATGTTGTGAGGCATGATGTCGTTGTTGCCGAAGGTGGGAATAATCGGAATCGAGATACCTTTCACGGACCGTTCATCCTTGAAAGTCTCCACGAGCTTCTTCGCCACCAGCTTATTCAAGTCGAGCACCTCCTCTGGTTCCCGGGGATTCTTCTCGTCGTTGTCGTGGCGAGCTGAGTCTCCAGTCCAAATAACGAAGTCCACCTTGCCCTTGAGGTTTTTCTCGATCCAGCGGAATGTTTCGTTGATCAAAGTGATAGGTGAGTCGCATTCGGTTCCTTCTGCTCCATAGTATCCAGCCGAGCCGTCTCCTCGATGACAGGCCCTGTCGGGTGACGCTCCGGATTCATAATATGAATCGGGATGTAAGTCTATCCTCAGTCAGAACCGCGCTCTTTGCCTGGTGTCTTGAAGGTTCGGACAAACCGGTTATGTGCAAGAAGCGGCCGGAAAGGCCTCTAGAGGTTGGGTCGACATCGTCCTGCAGCTCGAGCTGAGGCGCATGCAAGAGCTCAGAGTTGCCTAGCGGTTGTTGATCGGAGAGCGGAAAGGCGCACGCGCACGTCGCAAGCAAGAAGAGCGCCGGAAACAGTTGTGACGGAATCATTGGGAGAGAATGAGCTGGAAGGAGGAACGAAAGCCCCGACGATGCGGGTAACCGGTCTCAACCTCGGTCAGTAAGAATAAACATTAAGAGATAGAGCTAAGAGAGGATATGGATAAAGGCGGAGGAGTGGTGAACAAAAAAGATAGAGCTTGAGCCTGTAATGATGGTAGCAATGATAATACCTAGATTGAAAGAAATTGAGATTTCGACTTGATCGATCGCCCGTTAGGCTAAGCTGGAGACTAACGTCACGTCACTCCGTCCACTGAAAACCACCAAAGAGCCCAACCGGGGAAAGCGTCAGGTAAACCTCGGATAGCCTCAGGCCGGGACCCACTCCTTTCGACTGCTGCTGCTGCTGCTGCAAAAAAAACCATCAACAGCATCGCGACTGTGTACGCTGGTCTGCACATTATAAATATGTCTCTTTTCAACTCATTGTCATATGAGGGATTACCGTTAGCTAGTTGAATCACCACCACCACCGCTAACGGACCTAGTAGTGGCTATAGAACCTCGAACTAAATATGCGCGGATGCATTTACTTCAAGCTGGAGGCGTGTGACCCTTGCGGAATGTACCCTAATGTAAGGTACCTGTAGCCTGTGTGATTCCCTGATCCGACCACGTGCCTGCGTCCTCAAAGGCGATTGTAGGACTGTGCATGTTTTGGTGTTCGTAGTGCGGCTCTTATCGGTTTACAAGGTCCTCATCAGACGCAATATCTGAGGTGGTGGTCAAGTGCACAAGTCAAGGGTGCAACTTGATAGGCCATCCTAATCATCATGGATCCATACTAGGACTTCCGCCATCAATATGTGTGTCTGTGGAGAATAGTGTGACAAGTCACTGTTTCAGCAAGCCGCTGCCTTTTTCTTGCCTGCGCAGAGGCGGAGCGAGCATATCTCGAATGCCAGAACGGAGTAAACAAAAGCACATAGTGAGGTTTTCCAAGCGATAACCATTAACACTGATGGAGGTAGTCGTGAGTCGTGACACACCAACGGAGATCAGTTTAGTCAAGCTAATCATCCGATCAATCAGAGCCAAGTAAACATTACCTTACCTACCTACTAGTAGTCTAGAGCTGCATGGTGGATGAGCCACTCTGAAGGGCGATCTCCCCCTTCAGCGAGTGCGGGGCACTGCTCACTCCGAGCTTCCGCCGCGCAGCACCGACGCTCATCTACAACCTCCCCTCCCATTTCCAACTTACTCTCATCAAGTGATAAAACATCCAATACACCATGCCCGGCTACCCTACCCTCCAACCCGCCTTTACGATCCAGGTGATTCCCATCCCCCAAACACAGCCCTTCTACCAACACGATCTAAACAACGTCTCACGCGACAGGTCGTCATTGATGCGCCACTAGGCGTCGGTAAGCGATCTTCCCCTCGTCACGAAGCCAGCCTAAAACAAAGCTAATCGTGCCAAAAGGCAGTGCCTCCCGGCAGAACAGCCTTCAGGTCGTGGTAAGCAGCTCCACTGGCTTCTCGTGTCAGAGGGATCGGGCGTCGTGCTAAACGCTGGACACAATCATGACACCAGCCGATGACCGGCGGCACCATCAAGAGCGAACCTGGCTTCTCCCCCGCTCTCGATGCTGAGTTTGTCGGTGTCGGGAACGACTACATCCACGCGGATGCTGACGGCAAGCACTTGCGTCTGAACGCCCACGCGGTTGCTAAGTATGTGGCTGCCGCCCTCCTTGACCGTGACACAGCCGTTGTGTGAACCATATTGACCCTGACATCAGACCTAAGGATGACGCCGATGTAGGTAGCTTTGCTGTCCAAGAGAGCAGGTCGGAAGTGGGAATCTGACAAGCTACCAATGTCAAACTAGCTCATCTACCTGAATTACACCGGTGTTGTTACGCTGGCCCCGGAGGTCCAGGCTGTCTTTGCGGGCACCGCTGAGGATGGGTCGACGCCTTTTGGCAACGCTTGTGAGTTTATACCGATCTCTCAAGGGTATGGCGATCACTGATCTTAGCATATTACAGTCACCCATTTCACTTTCGAGGTATGTTTTGTTGTTGAGAAGGGCTACAGGATCGTCACCCTGACACAGATGAACAGACGGGCAGCGCGCGCTACAAGGACCTTGAAACCCGCGTCTTCGTCGCCCAGGGACGGTTCAACATCGAGAAGGGCAAGCCGCCTGTGGTCGAGTACCGGGTCAGCCAGGTCGTCCAGGGATAGAAAAATTCCGACTCCCATCCCTAGCTGTTCATGCAATCATGCACACAGTTTGAGTAGCTTCACAAAAGTGAATATGACATTCTCCCTGAATAGACAACAGTCGTCAAACCTCATAATCCATAAGATACATCCAACCTAGTCAAGATAGCACGATACAATAATGCCCAGTCCAGCTTATATAGCCCCCATCCCGGAGAATACCAGGCAGGGACCTAACCCAAGCCCCCAAGCAAAGGCCTCCTCTCATCATCACCACCACCCCGCAACTCACCATCCTCATCCCCCAACCCAGACAAACCACCACCACCCCTCCTCGCCCAGGAAGACCCCAACCGCCGCCTCAACCTCCCCAAACCACCACCACTACCCCAATCAGCACCCTGATCCTCACCACCAGCCTCACCACCCCCAAAACCACAAGCCTTCCTCTCCTTCAACCACCCAACCACCCTCTTCCCCGCCCACGCCAGAAACACCACCAGCCCAAACGCCGCCAACGTCCCTAGCACCCCCCCGACGCCCGCGAGGAACGTAATGGTGCTAACATGACACCCGAACGGCAGCGCCCTCAGCTCCCACCGCTCCTTGGCCCCCAGCGGACAGATTTCGGAAGACCCGAAGGGGGCCAGAATCGGCACCCTGGCGGGATTGGGCACGCAGGCTGAGGACTTTTCATGTGTGTTAGTGATCCGCCGAACGGCGCCAGGCAGAACCCGGAAGATGGATGGTGTAGCCAAGCATATGCACAGCACCGTACAGCACCGTACCGAGTGGCGAGTGGCACAAAAGAAAAGAACTTACAATAGCGCACCAGCCACAGGGGAGATCGCCCTGTAGGCAGTAGTCACATGACTGGCGGCGCCAGCATAGATAGAAGAGATGGTCGTCGGGGATATCGAGGGGGTGGGGTTGATGGGTGGTTGAGTTGGTGGCCATAGCTATGGCCAATGGGGACGGCATTTCAAAATGTCTCAGGTTTTATTTGGATGGAGAAATGGAGGGAGGGAGGGAGGGAGGGTCGTGTGAGCTTTAGGTGGGCGTGGATTTGATAACATCGGGAGGTACGGAGGAGAGTAGAGGAGGGTGTGTCACCGGGTAGGTTTTTTATGAAGGTGTTTATTTTGGGAGGGTTGGTCGTGCGGGGTTTCCCATACCACCAGTCGACCCCTGGTTATGTTTGTTAGCGACAAAAGTACGGGTGAGGTTTAGGAAACGTATTGTGTGAAATTGGGGGCAATTCTGTAGCTGCTTTGGGGCTCGGTGGTGTTTTCGGTGGTGGGTTAGGTTGGGGCTGCTGTCTATTGGCGTCGGAGTTTTCTTGTTTATTGTTGTTCTAGGAGGGTGTCTGCTAATCTGGATTTATAAAATAAGTTCCTATACCTCAGAGCAAAAGTATCATCCAGATGATCTATTTTGACGGAGAGAAAAGTGATATGGAAATAACATGGTAGAAGCCCGGCGCTCCTGCAGGAAATGCTATGATAAGACATCCTTCGAATAATCCGATCGTAAATACATCGCATTAAACCACACGCTTAACCTATATACCGCATACGGTTGTTAAATGGACCTCTTCGACCAGACAAACAGGCTTGAACCTACCTCGAAGAATCTCTTCAACCACCACACCTGGAAGACACCCTCGCCGATCAGCACAGCTAGCTGGAAGATACTCCACCACTTCACCCGGGCGTTGGTGCTCTCAGCGGTGTTCCGGTGTACCCGTTCTCTCACGACAATGTACGACTGCTCATCCTTGACTTGAGCCAGGGCCTCGGACAGTTTGCGGACTAGCATAGGAAATTAGCTCACGGGGGTTCCTGTTCCTCCGATGGACGAGTGCGGGATGTATTCCTCCTACCTTCCGTCTCCAGAGGGTCCTGCGCCATTTCGTGCTCCGGGACGTACACGATGCCATGGACGTTGAAAGACACCTCCTTGGAGTTGGACGACCATCCCTCGTTGCTGAAGCAGTAAACGTATTTTCCGTCCGCGTGGGCGTTGAACGAGTAGTCCTCCGACGAGATTGCGTGCTTGTAGTACTGGCGGTTGTTCAGGGGGTCCTCGACCTAAAGGTGACAAAAGAGTATATCAGCATTGGCTCCGAAGGATCAAGCCCACCACAGAAACTGCGGGCATTCCCAGGCCTGTTCAGAACAGTCCGCTGTCCCTCTCGTCCCCGACGGCGGAGGACCGGCCGTCGTGCCCCGAAGTCACGAAGAGTAAAAGCCATACCCAGAAATCGATCTCCAGGTTGCCACTGCCACCAAACTCCCGGTCGCCGACCTGAAACGTGACCGTCATCTTATCGTCCTTGTGCAGCGACTCGTGGAAGCATTCTCGGGAGTGAGCCTTGAGCTGGATGTTGTGTGCAGTCACGGCGCTGATCCACCCCAGCGCGGTGATCAACAGGGTCGTCGCGGAGAAGCGCATGGTGGGCGATTTGATCTTGTCCTTTTCCGCCTGGATTGGGAAGGTCCGAGGTGTAGGTATTCAAGCCCTGACAGGGAATCGTGGGTTGGTTGTGGAGGGTTGGGCCCGAGACGGTGTCGTCGTCGTTGGACTCCGGGACGCGCAAGGTGGTCTCTGTGCTGTGCTGGGAATTCGAGACGCTCGGACCACCTCTCAATCCAGCCGGCGCTAGTCCCCTGGAGGTATTCTAGAACTATACACACATAACCTTAAGCAAGCTCTCTATGTACTCTACCGAATCGATTGACGTTCCTAACTGTCAGAGTAGTTTTATTGATGAGTTCGAGCTTTTACGAATATACTTCCTGAAATCTCCGATACTGCGCCACATACAGGAGCTACTTCATACGGTCAAACAAAATGCTATGCATGTTTTAGGTGAAGACGAATGAACGAAATGGATGATTGAACACAATGATAAGACATCGCAGATACTTAACGAAGTACCTCGGTATAGCAGGAGCTTACTACATGATCAAAGATGCGGTGTAGATGTGAGGCTGAACCGGCCTTCATAAAAGCCTCTCAAATCCTCTTGGGTTTCTTCGCGCGTGGATACTCTGGGCCTGAAATCCAGGTGTTGAGAACTTGTCCCCGAGTACGACTGTACCTTTGACCATGCCTCTCTATATGATAGATGAAGAGCTTCGCCGGTTTCCGCTCTGGTCTCTCTTGCTGGGTAGACTCGATGTCGAGTTAATGACCCGCGGTCGTCGAGTGGTGAGATAGATGAAAAGCTCTGTTTCCAGGCTATTCTTCCTGTATGTTTCCTAGCAGCTTACTTTGAGTTTTGGAATAGAGACAGAGACGCAATGCTGGGCGAGGAGGGCGAATTTGACCTCTCGGAGACGGACGTCGTAAGTTGGGAGCTCATTGACTCATATGGGACCTCAGATACAGCAAGCTTATTCCCTGACTCCTAGTTCCTACAGAACCCCGTCAACCAGAGCCAGGGGGCCCGCCTCCTCGAGGACCTCAAGGACCTCCGGGGCCTCCGGGGCCTCCAGGGCCTCCAAGACCCTCAGTAGGACCCCCAGGACTTCAGATTCTGATAAACATAAGGGATCTAGAAGTCGTTATAGTGGCCTAGAACCCTATGAGCATCGAGAGACTCGTACATTTCTGGGACCTCGTGATAATCAAGAGCCTACCGGAAATCAAGGAATTATTGGATATCAGTGGCAGCCCCTTGGAAGTCAAGAGCTGCCCATCAGAGATCAGTGGCTCGGACGTGTCAGACCTGGCGGATTTCATGTCTGTCATGGCTTTCATGGTCACAGCTTGAGAGAACATCTGAGAGAGATCTAGTACTCTCAAGACCAGCTGCTCCCGACTCTGATTCTGGAGCATAACGATGACTTTCTGCAATCACCAAGAATTCTCAATAGTCAATGTCAACGGTCAATAGCAACCGGCTATGGTCGGTATCTGTGTGTCAAAGAACGTCGTTTCATTGAATTGATACGTAGCGGGGTGGTATGAAATTCAGTTCCATTTGAATGTCGGAGGATACCCCGACACTATTGCTCTGAATAAGCGTGGTCAGTCATCAAAGGCAGCCCACCGGTCTCGCGCCATCACCTTCGAATCAACGACCTGCAACGCTAGTCGGCGACGGAAGTTGCCGGAGCTGGAGCCGACAAACATAGTATTTTTGCGGGATTTCTTTTTGAGGTCCAGTTCGGCTTTCCGAAATGTCTCGACTATCCAGATAGTGTCCCTCCAAGGTTCGCGCCAATGTGCGTATGCGTTCGAAGTGGTTGTCGTGACATCACTTGAGAGTGGAATGACCCTCTCTGCATTGTGGTTGAGCCAATGTTGAAGCACAATTTTCTCGGTTGTCCACGTTCTCGGCCCTCCGGTAAGACAAAGACTCACCAGACGATCCATCCGACTGACATCCGACGGGAACAATTGGTAGTATTGGTTGAATGAGAATTCATAAAATGGCCGTGTCATACTTTGAGGTGCCTCAATATCAGTGCCCGATTGAATCAACCTAGTTGAATGGGCAGAAATTGTATTTGACCATCAAATCAGAATTCTGATGGATGTGAACGATTGTTGTTTTAGGGGTGGTATGAAATTGAGTCAATTAGCCTGATTGCATCACAGTGAAGTGGAAGAGACTGGTTCATTCAGTCGTCTACATCCCTCAAAGGGTTCATTTCCAAGTCTAGGCCCTGGCATTTGGTGGCGGATCGGCGGAGGCTACAGCCGACAGGACCCCAATTTAAAAATCGAGCGCAAGGGCGTCCAGGGATTAACGGGCGCTTGGCGGCTTTGAGTAAGGCTTGCGGAGTCCCCGAAGCAGGAAGCGGACCCTGTTCATCCTCCTCCAGACTCCCCGGGAAATCCCCCCAAGTGCAAAGATCCACCCGATAGTTTTCCTTCCCTTCTGGCCGTCAAATGGATGCCATTTCCACTCTCATTACACAACGCACTGTGGGTTTCCGACAGGACCAATCTTTTCCTACTTATTGGTAGTAGCAGACTGATCCTCATCCCTTATTGGAGGTTTACCACAATGTGAATGCATGAATTTGCCTCACACCAACCAGCTGGAGGGTCCACGGTTGTTTGCTCTCTGATCACTGACGGATCCATTTATTCATCCCACATTGAATCGCTCCACTGCACTGTCTGTTCCCTGACGTACTGCACAGTGCTTTGTGTTCTTATAATAACTCGGTCAATCCCTCCCCCTTTGATCCTTCCCCCTCCCCAACTTGCTGCTATTTGTGTGTGTGTGTGTGTGCGTTTTCACCTGGCGCTCATTCTTTTTATAGACGCCCTCCTTTCTTTCTTGTCTTGCATCCTTGGCAGCAACAGTTGAAAAAAAAAGGATACTTCCTGTTATTCCGCACTTCGTCCTGACATTCTGCTCTTTTATCGCTCGTCATTTCGCCGTCCATAGAAATCAATCATCCTACCGTTCTATTTGAGAATGCGTATCATTAGCTTGCTGCCTGCCTTGCTGGCCACCATCCCCGCTGTTACTGCGGCCGGCACTCTGGGGCTTGCTCTTGGCAACAAGAACGCAGACGGCAGCTGCAAGGCCACCGGTGACTACGAGGCCGATTTCGAGGCACTCAAGAGTGTGACTAAAATCGTCCGTACCTATTCTGCCAGTGACTGCAACACCGCTCAGAACATCATTCCTGCCGCCAAAAACAAGGGTTTCAAGGTCGTCTTGGGTATCTGGTACGTGCTCGCTTGTGTGACCGTCAAAGGATTTGTATCAGCGGGTCGCTAACCCATACATTCGACTAGGGCCGACTACACTGATTCCTTCAACAACGACTTCAATGCTCTGAAACAGTCTGTGCCCGGCAATGAAAACGTTGTCAGCGCAATCACTGTCGGCTCTGAAGTCCTTTACCGCAAGAGTCTTACGGCTCAACAGCTTTTAAGCCTGATTCAGCAAGTGCAGAACCAGTTCCCCAAGGTAGCCGTGGGCACCGTGGATAGCTGGAACAAGTTCGCCGATGGCACCGCTGATCCCATCATCCAGGCTGGGGTTAGATACCTGTAAGCAGCACCCCCTGCTCATCAATGCTGGGAGTATGCTACTGAGACTGACTCGTGTTGCTAGCTTGGCCAATGGGTTTGCTTACTGGCAGGATGTTTCTCTCGCCAATGCCAAACAAGTGTATTTCGATGATGTTTACGCTGCTAAGGAGCGTGTGAAGCAGATCGCTGGCTCAAATGCTAACAACATCTACTTCGGGAACGGCGAGACTGGCTGGCCGACTGGTAAGTTATTCGTCTATTCAATTCTTTTGAGTTTCGCTCGCTAATAGGTCGTAGATGGAGGATCCAACTATGGCAAAAACTCCGTCGCTGGTACCAAGAATGCTGAGCAGTATTATCAGACCTCGGTTTGTGCTATGCTAGCCTCCAACATTGACGTGTTCTACTTTGAGGCCTTCGACGAGTCTTGGAAGCCCAACAGTGTTGGAGACAACGGCCAGTCAATGGATGAGAAGCACTGGGGTCTCTTTACTGCCGATCGTAAGCCCAAGTTCAACTTGAATTGTCCGAACTAGACGCCTGAAGGCCTCGAGGTTGTGCGATGAGGGGCCCGACTCCGTTTCTTTGTTCTTGTTTCTTTGTCCCATCACCTGTAACATAGGTCTTACATGTTTTACAATTCGCTCTGTCAATCGTCGAAAGCACGGGCCTCAGGTAAGGACCTGACCTTGACGCGGGCTTTGTCCCCGCGAGGTGGTGCTCATCCGACCCGTGACTCTTAAGCTTTCCGCGAGAGACGTAACTTCAATGCAGGAACAAATCTTAATTTGAGATTTGAGATTGATCATTTGGAATCTATGATCTCTGCTACCACGAGGATTAATCAAGATTAATAAAGCAACCTTGGTTACTTTTGAGGGTACCTCCATAGCGAAGTCAACTATGGTTGTTGAAGAGACAGCGTCGATTTGATTGCCGGTACGGAGTACTTGGCTGTTCTGGGGAGGCGGGGGATCCTAGCAACTGGAAGACTGCCGGGCATCAGGACTGCAAGCAACGGAAGTCACGGGCAGCCGATGAACCGTGGTTCGCAACGGACGGTGGTAGGCTGGTAGCGCAGCTTTACCCCTGAGTTCCCTCTCGAACCGCGGGAGAAACCAGCACGGTTATGTTTACTATGGGGAATCTAGGCTATTCGGTCCTGGCAGAGGAGCCAGCGCATTGGAATGCCTACAATACCTACAGCTTAGGATAAGACTGACGGCCGCGCTCTGATCGCGCAGACATGCGGGTCTAGCAGCTACTAGATATGCCATGCCACCCTACTGGAACATGCTTGGAGGCAGACACCAATCTCAATCATGCCCAGCCTTGCAAGTTCTGCAGTCACTTAGTGATTAGTTTATCCTTACTGAGAGAATCACTGAGGGAATAATTAATCAAGAACCAAGGCCACACCACCACCACGTCAATGGCGGTCAAACACATCTACCTAACTACCTCACCATGGAATGAAGTAAGTGGGTGTGAGTTGGCCGACTATTCAATGCTAAGGAAGAGAACTAAACCAGAAGAAGACAGAAGGCCACCACTAAAAGAGAGCTTCTGCTTTGATGGTCCGAGGTTGAGTTTACCGTACCTTACCAGTTACTACTACTCCGTTACTATGTGCATACTAGTACAGATGAAGGTAAATCACTTCCAGTCCGCCGCCATCTGAACCACCTTCCCTCTTCCCTCCGGCTTCACGCCAATCGTGTGTTTTTTTCCCGCCTCATCCTCATTTTCTTTTCGTTTCCTCCCAACCTCAATTTCAACCGTCCTTCCTGCGTATGCGCCATGTCCCTATCAATCGCATACCTGAGGTTATCTCTGTAATTTGTTGTCCGCTACCTCTCTTTTTCTAGCATCCCTCTTTCCCCCCACCTCCCGTTCCATTGGATGTCTAGATTGGGTCATTCGTCCATTGTCGGAGCCCACCGCCCCTGAAGATAATAATTGTTGCCATTCACTCGCGCCAACATCAACACTGACAACACCGACGACAAAACAAACAACACTCACCACCACCACCATAATTCCCAGAGGTACGATCTCAAACAAAGTCAATCTTCCTCCCTCCTGTGTTGATCACAGGTTTTCTGTGAGGTAGTGCCAGTGTTCGAGCTTGCTTTCCATGCTCCATCATTCTGGACAATAAGGGGAGCAGCAAGCAAGTGCTTGCTGCAGGAGACGAAACGGAAGGTGTGTGTCTGTCTGCCCGTCTGCCCGTCTGCCAGTGCTGTCTGTCTTGTCTTGTTTCGTCTTGCCTTGCTGCCGGTCTGAGTGGTAGCTTGGCTGCATTCACTGCATTCAATGCCAAACGTCCCCATCATGCCTCCCCTCTTTTCCCTAAAAGACTAAAATAAAAATGATTTCCCTTTTTCCTTCTAGCGGTGTCGCGTCGCGCATTCGTTCCCCCTCCCCCGGTCATTTCCATGCTTGCACTCTCGTAGCCACACTGAAAATGGGGCAGAGGCTAAACGATCAATGCTTTGGTGTCTACAGATCTAGGTCCCTCCGCATCTTCCGCCAATTCGGCGTTCTCTCTGCCATCGCCGCCGCCGCCATCCTCCACTCAGCCATTCAGCTTCAGGGTTGATTCACATTTGACTGTCCCATTGACCTCGTTTCCTACTTCGCCTCGAGTGTCGAGTTTTTCGACCGCTGATTCCCCTGGCCGGTCAATCTCCCGCAGCGTAACGCCGAACCCCCCGAACTCACTGCCCGTCCTACCCAAATACCGAGGCGCTTGGGAATCATCGACTTCATCACCGGAAAATAGAAGGGCAGAAAGCAGCGTCTACTACACAACCGCCTGGGGCTCGCCGTATGCTGCACCCAGCCCTCGGACAATTTCGTGGTCATTGAGTCAGTCCGCCGTTGCTGTTGATCGTGGTTCCGGAAATAGCTCTCCGGCCTCGATGCGCAGTGGTGTCCAACACGGTCTTGAAACGAGTAACACCGACCTTCTCAGACCTTCTGCCCGAGACAACTCAACCCGACGCCCGTATAGTCGTCTGTTGAGCCGGTCCCCGTTCGGTAGGAAAGGAGGAAAGTCAATCAAGGATTTCACACAGGACTGGATCAATCAGTACCTCTCAGGTCAACCCAGGACTGAGCGTGGTAACTGGCTAAGTGACGATTCGGGAAGCGAGGCTCCCTCGTTCTTCACAGCGCAGAACTTCGCGGAAGACACTTCTGACGATTGGCTGGGCCTGGAACAAGACGCCCGCGACGAAGATCTTCTGAGAACTCCAACCCTCGCCGACTTCGGCAGCCGAAAAGCAGTCACCGGTCGCGGTGAAGGCAGCAGGAGAAATAAGGAGTACCAACACAAGAGAACGGATACGTTGCGGCAGGAAGACTTCTGGGGTTTCGCCTACGATAAGGATCCCCCGTTGATAACCATGGATTCCACAGACATACACACCGCCGCCGGACCGTCGCAACACCAGGCTCCATCCTTATCGATAGAGAAGCCGTTGCCTTCACCCCCGGTGGACGAGGTCAAAGATGCCCCATCGAGTACGGAACACTTTCCAGAATCCATCGATTCCCCGGCTGTGAAAAGCCAGGGATCTGAGCAGAGCATTGTCCAACCGCCCGTGCAACGACAAAGGAAGAAGCTTATTTGGCGGGGGAAAGTATGCAATATCGCGCTACCGTTCGATGACAGACGAGGCACCGAGGAGTCTGGCTACCGACTTTTGACTCTCGATGACGTCGAAGAGCGATTGAGGAGCCTCAATGAACAAGGCTACGACACCCGCGGGTTCAGTGTTTGCGCATCGAATGACTCGACAGATTTGGAATTGGGTGGCTTGAGTCGCCCAATTTTTCCTGATCCAGGAGAAGTGCACGAAGAGTTTGCGTCTGGGAGTTATAGCGTCGGTATTCCTAACAAAGCCGATTGGGATGCGTATGTCGCCTTCCTCCAAGAGGAGAAACTGCGGGCTCTGGGCGTATCCTTGGGAGATGACGAGCCCAAGCCGTCCATTTCACCCGCTATGAGCCAGATGGCCTCGTTCCCTGGCTTAGTGTCGTCGCCCCCGATCCCAACAGCATCAGCCGCTAGCAATCCGTTATCCATGTCTCATCGCTTCTCCCCGCAATTAAACCAACCTGGAAATCCCGCAGCTGGCTTGTGTTCGCTGGCTTCTCCGGCCTCACAATTCAGTATACAAACACCGTTTTTGGGTGTGGATCAGAACCTCATACCGCCATACTCTATGCCGTTTCAACCTACTCCGCCGGCTCAAAATTCCCTTACGCCTCAAAGTTTCTTCAACCCTCGGCAACCTGGCGCTGGTTCCACCTTGCCTGGCACGCTACCTAACCTTACCTCGATCCTGTCGCCCGTTTCGCCTTTGAATGAACAAAATGCTTTCCACCCCGGCTACAACGATCCCGCATTCGCGGAGCCTGGCTATGGGGAGCAAATGGGCCTTCCGAAGGATGTGTACGGCGATCACGATGTGCTTGGTAATGCTACTGAAGGCCATCTGTTACGCCCTCTTCACACTCCCACGGAGAACCTCGATAATTTCCATGCCTCTACTGTCGAAATTGCCCAGCCCACGCCCCGCGGTCACAGTCGCGGCCACAACTTGAGCGAAACACTCCAGAAGGGCCTGGACAGCTTCACTCCGGCCTACCACTTGGAAGAATCTTTTGACAGGCAACCATTCGATGACGGCAATCGCGGACAACATCTGGGCCACTTTGATGGCAGTGAGCTTCTGAAGTCGCAGTGGGCTTTCGGAGGAGACAACATGGGTGTGCAGCAGCTACCGCATCACATGCACCAATTCTACGACGGGAACTATTCTGAAGAGATCGCGCATGAAGGGTCCGACATCGATACCAATCCAAGCCTTTCTGGCACACCTAGGCATGGGCCACATGCCAACAACGTGCCTTGGCATCAGTCCAGACCTAGTGGCAGCTCCTATATTGGCGGACATCGTTCGAAGCTTTCAACATCGTCTCTCAATGTTGACGCTAAAGAATTCAAACCCACTGCAGCGCCGTCATCCCAACCGTTCGCAAACCAAGACAACTCGTTCCAATTCCAAGCGGGCGGGAGTCCTGTGTTTACATTTGGCTCGCAATCTGAATTTAAGCCTGGTAACAATGGCTTCGATACCAAAACTCCCTCCTTTACCCCTGGTGCTTCCAATAACACCACTAAACGAACCACTGGATCGGGTGAATTCAAATTCTCCACAGCCTCATTCAATGTTGCAGCCCCTGCATTCAACCCTGGTGGTAGCACTTACTCTGCCGCGCCGCAAGAATCCACAAGTGCTGGAACCAAGATCTTCAGCGACGTCGACCTTTCCCAAGCGTCGTCGAAAGCCTCTAAGAAATCCAAAGCTATTCCCATTGTACGGCCTGATGATGTCAACGAGGATAACAGAAGCAAGGATGAGGGTGAGCATGATAATGGCAGGCCAGGTCGTCCAGACCGTCACAAGCGTGCTCGCCGTGGCGATGAACTTTCAGAGACCGAAGCCCAGCTTAGCGTGCCTGCTGCGCTAGCCGAGGCGACCAACCTTCAATCCGCTCACATGCGCCAGCCATCCCATACATCCGCTGATGGCAAAGAGAACATTGTGCCTGAGGATGGAGGAGCACTCCCAGCGATCCCGAAACCTATCTCGGCCCAAGACGACAAATTTGCCGAACGGAAGGACACTCCCATCAGCGAAGCTTCCACCTGGATTCCTCAGGAGATGAAGAACGAAAGTGCTGTTGCAGCGCCAGAGTCTGAATCTGAAATCAAGCACACAGAGCCGGAGCCGTTGTATGAAGTCCAGAAATCCATCGAGCGCGACGCTGTCCAAGAAGAGCAAGGGCGAGCTGTTCCGGTACCTGCGGATAAAGTCTTACCATCCACTGAGCTGGGAGCTTCTGTCACTCAGGAACGCTCGAAGAGTTCCGCTAGCCCTCAGGCCACACCGAAACGTGAGCGATTGCCCGAGCCAGCTCATCTGGAAGATGATGAAGACTCTCCCGATGAGGAAGAGCTTAATGCTATTATGGAGCAGCTTAACGACGATTCGGACGTCGGTATTGAGCGGATAAGCACACCTCAGACTAATGGTGGTGTGCCTGAATCTGTCATGCATGTGACCAAAGAAAAGCGCCACGTTCCTGCTGAAATCAGAAGCGAGGCCCCAAGCCCAAGCCCAGGACGTGGCCCAGCTCCTCACACATTGGACGTTCCTAAGCTTGACTTTGAAGCTCAATCGCAGTTCTCCGCCTCTCCATCAAAGGGTGCAGTTTCTGGCTTCCCCTCGCCGATTCGTCAGCTTGTGAGCCGTACCGAGCACATCAGCGATTGGGACGATGTAATCTCCTCAGGCGAAGATGAGAAACTGGTAAACCGAAGCAGGTTCTTTGATCGCCATATCAACGACCTCGTGGGTACAACTATCGACGAACGGCTGGGGCCACTAGAGCGAGCACTTGGGGTGATTCAAGAGTCTATCATGGCTATCCCATCTGGCTCTCATACCAGACTTTGGAGCGCATCTGCCGACGGCGACAATAGCGATGCTGACGACGAAGAGGATGCGTACGAGGAAAATGAGTCGTTCAGTACAAGATCACACATGCGTCAGAGAGAAAAGCTTGATAAGCTGAAAGCGGTCGTTTTGGAAGCACTCGCTGCTCACGCACCCCAGCAAGTCAAGGACGAACACGCGGTTTCCGAACTTGCCCAGCTACGGGAAAGCGTCTCGGCGTTACAAGCCCTGACCATTCAGAAGTTGTCACAGGACCCGGTAACAGAGCTCAGAGAGATGATGCAAGAGTTGGTTTCAAGCCAGCGTGATGCGCGTTCGTCGGAGACGGATGAGGTTCCCGCTGAAAGTCTGATGCTCCAGATTGAAGGCCTGAAGAACATGCTTCGACTATCTGATGAGCGAGCGGACCAAGAGTACAAGCTTCGCAGAGAAGCCCAAGACTCTGTTGCAGAACTTCAGCGGCTTCTCAAGGTGGTTGAAGAAGATGCTGTTCGTCATAGTGAGGCTGCAGAATCTGCTGAGGCCCGGTTGCTGCACTTCAAGGCTGAGAAGATCCCTTACTATGAGACTGTTCAGCACAAGGCCGATACGCTTGAGCAAGAGCACGAAACCTTGAAATTCACTCTTGCCGAACTCTCGTCTAAGAACATCTCGCTCCAGGGCACTCTCGATGAATACCGGGTCACAGCCGACAACTACAAGCGAGACAGCGAGCAATCCAAGGCTGCTCTTGAGGAGGCCAAGGCCGAGAACAAGAGTCTACGTGGCATCGTTGAGCAGTTGAGGACACGCCTCGAAGACGGTATGAGTGTCCGGCAGAACCTCGGTAACAAGCTGGATCGTCTCCAAGAGGAGATGGCGACGGTAATTCGGGACGTGACTCATGATCAATCTTCATGGCGCCGGCGGGAGGAGGAGCTCAATTTCAAGTACAATGAATTGCGTGCTGCTTACGGGCGCGAGACGAAGCTGCGCGAGAAATTGGAGTATGACATCGATGGGCTCGAAGAAAAGGAACGCGAAGCAGCGAAGCTGAAGTTTATCTTCGGTCAATCCCAACAAGAGAATGCAAGGCTTGAAGAGCTGGTGGCGAACTTGCGTCTGCAGAACCACGATTTGGAGCTCAAGGCAGCTCGGTTCGAGCGTGAGTTCAATGAGGCGCGCGAGAGCAGTCGCATCGAAATCCAACGCACCAGAAACTCACTGGAATCGGATCTGGAGGCCGCTAACAGCCAAGTCAACATCGTGCGGGCTGAATTAGAAGCACAGATTCTTCGCCTGCAGAGCCAGATGGACAATGTGCGACTCGACAATGACACGGCTCGGGAACGCTACGAGATGTTGTTGGAAGAGGCGGCCGAGACAAAGGTCAATGCCCTGGCAGCAGCCGCTCAAGCCCAAGAGCTGGCCATTGAAGAACAGCGCCGAAACCACGAACGCGTTCTCAACGATCTCCGGGAACGCCACGCCCGTGCTCTGCACAATGCCTCTGAGGATAGACAGCGAAACGAAGGTCATCTGCTGGAACGGTTGGCGCTGTCTGAAGACAAGGCCAACCATCTTCACGACCGAGTGCAGCATCTTGAGGAAAGACTTCAGATCGCCCAGGAAGCTGCTCGTGCTGCCGCGGAAGCTGCTCAGTCTGCTAAGTCGGGCCCTGCCATCGCACAGTCTGCGCATGCCAGTACGCCTTCGATGTCATATCCCAATGGCTCCATGGTCCCTGAGAAGATTTCCCCTCAAGCATTGAGAGAATCGATTCTGGTTCTTCAAGACCAGTTGCAGCAACGTGAAACTCGCATTGAAGAGCTCGAGCAAGAAATCTCTACCGTTGATAAGGAAGCGCCCAGCAAGATCAAGGAGAGGGATACCGAAATCAACTGGCTGCGTGAGCTGCTTGGTGTCCGGATTGATGATCTTCAGGACATCATCAACACCGTGTCGCAGCCATCCTTCGATCAACATGCTGTCCGCGACGCCGCCATTCGCCTGAAAGCCAATCTACAGATGCAGCAACAGGAGAGAGAGAGAGTGCACTCGGGACAGGCTTTCCCGAGCCTTCCTTCGCTTGCGGAACTGACTGCTTCCCCGCGCTCGCTTCCACTTGCGGCCGCGGCGGCATGGGGCAACTGGCGCAAGGGGAGGGAAAGCGTCGGCTCTGAACAAACACCATCCAAGCAGGGAGGTGCTGGTTCGTTCCTGTCCGGGCTCTTAACGCCTCCTGCCAGCAACCTCCGCCAGGCTTCGTCCAACTCTAGTAGCCTAGCACCAACGAGTGGAAGACGCCCATCGGAGACTCGACCCTTGAGAAACTACAACACAACACCCAAGCAACCGTCCGGGCGCGCGAGCCGAATGCGTGAGCTTCCAAGTACTCCGCCTCTTCTCCGGCGATCAAGCTATGACCACGACGCCGAACCGACCGACTATGCACACAGTTCGTTCCATGAGGACACGGAAAGCACGGCTGACGGTCTGGTATTAGCATCACCGCGAGAGACAATCGATGGGCCTTTCGGACCTCAGATCACATCCCCAACCTCATCATCATCTTAGACTGTCCATATCCTTTCGTCGCAGCTTTCTCCATACTTCATGTTAATAGATAATTTCAGGGCCTCTTGTTGACGAGAAGAGTGGTTCCTTGCTTTTGTTACCGACTTGTTATATCACGATGCATCTCTTACACTCTCTTTCTCCGAAGTTTAACCTTTTGGCCATCCATATCATGTGATTCATTTTGTTGTGCTGTGTGCGAGGCGAGAAATATCTTTGATGACGCATCTTCTTATTCTTTCGTTTATTATACCATATCCAATGTGTTTCTATTTCTCTCTTTTTCTTGCGTCCTAACTCTGAACTGGATACCACCCCTATCATCTCGATTTGATTTGATTTGATTTGAGACCTTTTGCTGCAAATATGTATGTACTGTACACAAGAGTTTATATTCTTTTGCTTGATCTTAATTCCGGTCTGCCGGTTCGAGTTTGTCTAGAGGTATAGCATTGCGTAGTATGGTCTGCTTTGGGTGGTTGTGTGAGGATATGAGTTGGCGGGTACATAGTGCTTTGCAGGGTTCTTTTCATGTGTGAGTGAGTGAACGAGTGACCCAAGCGGGCTGGAGTCCGCCCCCCTTGCAGATGGGTATGGCGTCATCGCTCTTTCTTCTTTTGCTTGAGTGCAGGAACTTCGGCCTAGCGTTTGGGCGTAGTACTGAAGAATGTAGATCTCTCTCTTTTTTTTTCCCCTGGTATACAGTTATTCAGCACAGAAGGAAATGTAAGGTCCCTCCCTCCCTCCTCCCTCTTACCCAGTAACTGTAATTGTGAGATCGTCAACATGAAGACCCATACAGGAGCCTGCCTTTCCTCTCTAAAGACTCAGGTACGGTATATTCCACAATGAAACTCTACCTCGGTAAATAAACCCCAGTTACTAACAAAAGTATCACCCATTACAAGCGGTACTGCAATACATCATATTCATCTTCTCTCAAGGCTCGAACGTAAGCATTCTAGAAATCAAACGAACCAAACTATGACGCTGAAATGGAGAGATCCTTAACACCCTTGGTTGCTATGCCTCTGCGCATGCCAAGCTTGCTTTTCTGCTTGTGGCTTCCTTTCCCGGGAAGCGGCAGGGAAAGTGGAAAGTGGAAGGGGGGTTCTTCACGCCTTGCTGATTCTTTGGGTGGGTGCTTTGCTTTGCTTTCTTTCTTGTTTTTTTTTGCTCGCTCGCGTGATGGCCCCTTGATGTGCGTGATTAGACCTGCCACGAGAGGAGCTGTTTGGAGTTGGCGCTTGTTGTGGCTGTGATACTGTATTCGGTTTGCGTTTGTGTGTGATGGTGCTGCTGGTGCTTGCTATCTGAGGGAGGGAGGGGCGTGATGCGGAGGGATTGGATGTCCTCGTCTGTGATGCCGAGGAGGAGGGACCAGGTTGGGATTTGGGGGTCTGTGTCGGGGAAGTTGGGGAGTTGGGCTGTGGGGGTCGGGGCCGGGGTTGGGGTTGGGTTTTGTGGTGCTGTTTCAGGTTGGGTGGTGTGTGTTTGTAGAAGACGGGCAGGCGGATCCCCGTTCCGCAGGCTATAGAGGTAAATTGCGCCGCCGCCGGCGATGCTGGAGTAATGGCCTGTGCCGGGCTCGTAGAGGCACATTAGGCTTGCGTCCGGGGAGATTGCGAGGAGCGGGGCTGCCGTGGTGGGTGCCGCGGTGGGGAGGTTGGCGGTGTTCCATCTGGCGGTCGTGGCGGCGTGGAGGGTGGTGGTTTTGTGGTGGGTGTCTGTTGTTTGGAAGGTTGATTTATGTCTTGAAAGGTTGGTTTGGGGGGTGGGGGTAGGTTTGGAGGGATCGGTGGTGGGGGAATGTGTAGGCAGGTCTGAGGGGATGGTGAAGGGGGTGATTTGGGGCATTCTCGAGTGGTTTTTCCGGCTGGGAAGGAGGCGGAGAATGGCTATGGTTTGTGCGGAGGACGGGAGGGTTGGAGACGTGTCGATTTGGCCGATGCAGTAGCCATTTGATCTGCTGGTGGTGCTTTGGAGGCATGCGGTGAAATATCTTCGCCATGGGTGAGCGGCGTCTTCGGCTGTGGATGACCGCTGCGGGGCCTGGTGGTAGCTCCGCGGCAGGAGCTGGAGGCCTCGGAGAGAGACTTTGTCCCTGTCGCCGGGGCTGAGGGTGCCAGCCATGGAGGCGGAGTCGAGGTAGACTTGGTTGATGGTGGCACGCCAGTATGCGAGAGAGGTAGGACCTGCTGGCTTGCGGCTTGGATTACCCAGGTAACGCACGCGGGTCGGTTGGAAAGCGGTGGTGTCTTGAGCGATTGCGACGCGGAGTAGAGCGTCGTCGTCCTCGGCAAATTCGAGGCTCTCGATCGTGCCGTTGGTTTCCTCGTAGTTGGCAGGCGGCGGATGGAGGAATCTGTTTTCCTGGTTCACGGTATGCTGGGCAGGGGAGGTGAGACCGTCCAGATCTCCGAGCAGGCTGTAGACCTGGATCGTCTTGTCCAGGCCGACGGCGAGGAACTGCCCGTCCGACGACAGCGCGATGCGGTGCTCTGTATGCTGTGATGTGCCTAGCACGGCAGGACATACGGATGTCCAGAGTGAGTACAAAGGTGAGGAGCGGAGGAGTTCCCAAGGGCCGTCGGCATCTGAGCGGCTATACAGTAACGCTCGTGCGCCTTTCAGCGCCACAAGCTTCCGGTCGTCGCGAGAGATGTCGTATATCGTACAATGCGAGCATTCCGGAGGGAGCTCGCACCTCGACTGCGTTCTCTGAACGCGGTTGCGACAGCCCAGCAAGTTCTGACGGACGATCTGACAGAAGTAGCTGTTCCAATCCTCCTTTGCGAGGTGATCCGTCCGAGAGGGCAGCGAGACGGGGACCTGCTGAAGGGTGTTTCGAATAATGGACGAGGTCGAGGCTGCCATCCGCCATTTTCGACAGGTTGCCCGAGCGGCGATGTAGTCTTCCACATCGAGGTAATCGAGAATGCAATAAATGAGCTCAACTGGTAGATTTGTGGCCATAATGTGCTAGTGGGGTATTGTCAAGAGAAAGAATTCCATCTTGAGAGCGCAAAAACCAGCACGTACTCCATTAGGCGAGAAAACCGAGTTTATATAGAGAGCTCGGGAAACCGGCTCGATTGTAAACACATGGTTCGACATGGTAGGGATATTCACCGATAAGGTAGAGGTCGATCAGAGTACCCTTTTTGTGTGACATAGGTGGACATAAAGTGAAGCAGTGTGCAGCGCGTGCGTCATCAGGTACGAGAAGAGAAGATAATGATAGAAGTGGCCGTTGAGAAAGGGATGTGAGATGGCAGATGATGAATGATGATCCACCGGAATTGATCGACTCGGAAACCACCCAACACGGGCCGACCGGAAAACAACAGGCCATCGTCCAACCTAGCGATTTCCATGCTCTGGCCAACGTCCCAACCGGCCGAATGACGGGTATGTCGGTCTGGACTGGGAGGGTACATGGATATCAAGTGGCGTGACTGTGTAGGCATTATTATTGTGGGTAAGGCTGGCTGGCTTTGATTCCATCGGGTGATTCCCCCTCAAAAAGTTCCAACTGGTCGCCATTGGTTGGGACAACTGTGCGACAAAATGATGATGATTCTTTGATGATTTTTGATGATTTCTTACAGCCGTAATGTTGGTCGTGGTCGTACGTGCCGGGAAGGCCCTCCGTTGCGTCACAGATCAATTGTAAATGTGTGAATCCGGTAATGGTATTATGTCACTTTGTATAATTAACCTTCTTCGCTAGTATTCTTCAAATAGCTAAATGTCGCCCCGCCTTGAGGATTTGAAGTTTAATGAACCTAAAAGGATTGCCTGCAATGCAAATGGTCAAGCCGGCATTTATGAATGGAATGGAATGTCCTGACCGGAATGGCGGCACATCAAAAAGTCAGGCTGGCGCCAGTGATCAAGTACATCGTAGAACACTGCGCTACCTGATCCAGAGGCGCGCGTCCTAGATATCTGGAGCGGCAGTCTGGCATGTGGTCGATCACGGCGTAGACTCGGGATACTCTCGGTCAAGACTCGTGCACTAAGCTGCCACATTCTGCAGGGAGTGTGCACAGCATCAGTAGTCGATGGGAACTGACAGCCCCGGCTGTGTGTAACCTACACTTTTCCAACAAAGAAGCTTGTGGGTCGCTGGAAGATTTCCTTGAGCTTTCCGTCGCTCATATGATGATGTTCTTTTCTCGCTGGTAGAGATCCTTGAGTAGTTTCAACTGTTTCACACTCATGGTCTCTTTAGGGAGCTGGCTGGGAAGGTCAACTATCGCCAGTCTCATTAAGGCCAGTCCAACGTGTCCAAAGAAACCCACGACCCGCTCGGCGGAGGTCTTGAGCATAGCTGTCAAGAGGGTGATATGAGTATCTTGGATCTGGTCGACGGGGATGGACAAGATCTTGTGCATCGATTGCCAGAACATGGTGTTAGGGAAGGGGTTCTTGCGCGTGGTTTTGCCGAAATTGCGCAGAGTGAGGGCGGCATAGCCGGCCCCGAGAGCAGTCATGCGTTCGGCATGGGCTTGTTCACTTAGCCAAGGCCCGTCCGGCCCATCCCGCCGCCAACCCACGGCACGTCGCCCGCCTTCGGTTTGTTCGCTGCCGCAAAATCCCCACAGCGCCGGGCAAAAGACACGGTATTTCGCCAAGAGGATGTCCACCATGTGGTGGCCCTTGTAGACGAAAGCGTCCAGCGAGAAAATCTGTGCGGCCACAATGCCGATCGGCTCTGCATGTCCAATGTTGATTCCGGCTTCCTGGAGGAGGCCAGCAATGAGGGCTTTGGAAAAGATGTTGAGGGCGTAAATCAGTAGCGCGGGGACCTTGTTATCATCGGAGTTGGCGATTTCAGCCGGAGGGAAAGCCATGAATTGGCGCACATCCACCGACGGTTCGGCGATAGAGGAGGCCTTTTCGAGCGTTGTCCGAATTTCCTGAATCTAAGCAGCAGCAATATGGTTAGCTTGTTTCCCAGACCACAGCGCGAACGATGTGAATCCTCACCTGTG